TCGAACATGCTGTTTATGCAATGTTGCAACATATTTTACGCCACTTTTCATATACTAATTTAGATCATGATTTTTTTTTTACCATAATCTTATCTAATTATAAACTACTCACTGGCTGTTTACATACCTGGGTTTTCCTAGAACTTTAAACTTTATCAGCTGTAATGAATAATTTCGAAATTTTAATTCATAAAAAATGTCAAAGCCAATAGAATTTCGAAAAATATTTAAAATTATTATTTACAGGCCTATTCTCACTGTTACCGGTAAAATAAATTTTGTTACTTTTTTTAACAGCCGAAATTGAATTTGATATTCTGGCGTTGCAATGTTTGAAAAAAATTTGGCAGCACTGTTTTTTTCGTTCATGTCAAATTAAATTTTCCGTTTGACAAAGTAAAAAGAAAAATATTAACATAAAAATGGAAGACGGTGCGCAAAAAAATTAAAAAGTTTTATTAATTTATTATTTTATTATTGTTATTTGAATCTAATTATGGAAAATATGCCTGGACAACAAAAAAAAGGTGAATGAAAATGTTATCTTACAAATTAAGAGGGCTATTTTTTGTCTCGAAAACTTCTTAAAATATGCACTTTTTTCTTCATCTTCAATGAATTCCAGGCTTAAATTATATCAACCCATTTTGGTTTTTATTTTTTCTCAAACTAACAACACAAACTCAAACAGCTGATATTTTTTGTTACCTCCTATTTCGCTGGTAACAAAATTTACAGGGTGACAGTAAACACAGAATACGAAATAGTAACAAAATTTACTGAATGGTAAATTTTAATACCAAAGTAAATTTTTTTACCTCGACAGAATAGGCCTGTTAGTGAATGATTATCACTTAGGTCTTTGGTTGTTAGACTCTCAATTTCCTGTTAAATATATTTACTCTCCAAAAATACTTCTACATAATTAGTGGTCATAAAGCGTTGTCTTATCGTAAATTGCGTTCTATTTTGCTAATTATGAATTTCTAACAACCGGAAGTGTTTAAGGGCCTGCGATATAGTGCGCAAACATAATATTATATTTGCAAATGTCAATAATTCCCCAAGTTCCTGAGTGTTGAATGAAGGAAGGAAATTGATTGTACATTTTTATTGCAAAGCGACAATTTATTTTGTGATTTTTTTTGTTTTACTGATAAGGTAATACGTTCGAAGAGTTGAGAACGCTACAGTAAATACTGTGAAAGGAAAACATAATATTGGATGAGTGCATAAGTTCGTGCCCCATTCCGCTGGATGCCGGTCGAATCGTTTGAGAGTGGCGCTCGTGAAAGAAATATATACATATTATATATCGTTGGAAAGGTGACAGTCCGAACTGTAAATCAAGCATAAAATAACTTCATTTTGATTTGAGTTGCTTAGTGAAAAGACGCATGGAAGATGGACAACGAAAAAGATCATATGCGTCATATTATGTTATACGAATTCCGCAAAGGAAAAACAGTAGGCGCTGCAACTAAAGATATTCGCGAAGTTTATTTGGACCGTGCTCCAGCACTCCGCACAGTAAAGAAATGGTTCGCGAAATTTCGTTCTGGAGATTTTAACCTCGAAGATCAACCTCGCAGTGGACGGCCTTCTGAGCTTGATGACGATGTTCTAAGGACTTTAGTTGCGAATAACTCACGTATTTCGACGGAAGAGGTTGCCAGTGAATTGAACGTCAACAAATCAACTGCGTTTCGTCGTTTAAAAAAGGTTGGGTACACTTTGAAGCTCGATACATGGGTGCCACATCAGTTGAGTGAAAAAAACAAAGTGGACCGTATGTCAACAGCAATTTCTTTGCTTCGACGGATCAAAAACGAACCTTTTTTGGATCGGCTCGTGACTGGTGATGAAAAATGGATCCTGTACAACAATGTTCAACGCAAAAGAACATGGAAACAGGCACACGAAGGGGCGGAACCGATGTCGAAAGGTGGATTGCATCCGATGAAGGTACTGCTGTGCATTTGGTGGGATATCCGAGGCGTGATCTATTTTGAGCTCTTGCCAGCTGGAGAAACGATCACTGCCAACAAGTATTGTCAGCAATTGGTCGAATTGAAGAAAGCAATTGATGAAAAACGTCCGATTTTGGCCAATCGCAAAGGAGTTCTTTTCCATCATGACAACGCCAGGCCACATGTTGCAAAACCGACCCTGGCCAAACTGAAGGAGATAAATTGGGAAATCATGCCGCATCCCCCATATTTACTCGACATTGCACCCTTTGATTATCATTTGTTTCGATCGCTGCAGAAGAATTTGAATGGGAAAAAATTTAAAAATGTGGAAGAGGTCAAAAACCACCTTGACACCTTTTTCAACGAGAAACCGCGCGATTTCTATGAATCAGTTTGAACGTTGGGAGTGGATTACCGAATATGGTGGCGAATACATAATTGATTAATAAAAGCGCTTTCTTCAAAAAATTTCAATTTTAGTTTGCACTTGAAATCGGTCACGAACTTATGCACTCATAATTTAATTAAAGAAAAGTAATAACAAAAATTATAAAAATGGGCTACTGAGCTTAACTAAAATATTTGTTTTAATAAATTTAATTTCAATATTTTTAAGGTAAATGCTTAGACAGCCGAAATTTATTGGAATTGCGGATATTTTTATATTTCTAAATTAATATTGTCATAATAAAAAATTAAATAAATTTACTTTCTGGAACAAATAAACAAAAAGTTACTCATTTGTCAAATTTTTTTTGCCTATTTATATTTATGGTTATTTATTTATTCGTCATATTTTTAAAACATTTTTTTTTGCACTTAAAACAAAAGATAACAAATTTGCCAGCTTGTCCTTTAATGATTATTATCAATAACAACTAAACTAAAATCAATGTTTGCGAACTTCATTGCTAATTAAATTATAGTGTTTGTATATTTTTTTTTTATTAATCAATGCTCTCAATACTGACCATGTCAAAATGTAGAATATCTTTTTTTTTTTGACTTTTTGAAAGGTGTTTTTCTTTATCAGTTGTTAAATTTTTCGTACTGATTAAATGTTTTTGCAGTTTACAGTGCGTTTCACTTGTATAGTGCCATATTTGAATTAAAAAGATTAAAATAAAATTATTGCTTGTGCTAAAAGGGAAATTATTTTCTTATTTAATTTTATTTCAATAAATTTAAATTTTTATTTTCAATGTTGAATGTTCAAAATGCAATGAAAAAAATTACGTTTCGATATTTTTAGAGAAATTTCTGTCTCCTAACATTTCTTTATATTCAATTCCCGTAGCATTTCTCCTTCAATGCCCTCAAACGATTCAAAACTGTTTCCCAGTAATGGAATTTTGAGCTTGTTGAATAGCCAGAAGGCATATGGAATCAGATCAACTCAAGAAGGTATTTAATATTTTTTCAAACTCACGGCATAGATGTAGCGTGATTGTGCTGCAAATACCCTGATTTGGCTTGCCATAAATCTGGCCCCTTTTTCACGCAAACACCACATAGCATTCAAATAATATACCTTGTTGACAGTTTGAGCAGGCGGAAGGAGTTTATAATGCACAACACTTGGGTATTTGAAAATAATTTTTTAACATGGCTTCGCTTTTTGAACGACATTGACCATATTCGCTCTATTGATCGGTTGGTTTCTTAAGCACAAATTCAAATCTAATTTCCAGTAATCGAGCATTTCATCATGCCCTAATGTTGAAATATTCGAGTGGTGGCCATTCGCAAGCCCAGGTTGGAGTCTTGGGTCCAAATATTAATTAAAGTAAAAAATTAATTTAATTTATCTGATTGCCGTCGCCCTTGGGTAAGGAAAATCAAGCACCACTTCGAGGGTATTTCTGACATAAAAAAAATTCATCAGGTGGCTTAGAATAGACTGTAGGTCCCTCCATTTTCTTGGAAAAAACATCGAGACGCATACCACGAATTGAAGGAGAAGTGAAGACCTGAATAGATTGGAATCGGAATAGAATTCGATATGGTATAATAATGTTCTGAAATTCCATTTGTGAGAATCTATGTTTGAATCCAACTATACAACGAATATGGTGCTCTACAATATATTTCAAATTACTGAAAATTTCGCAAAAATCCAACGCTCCAATGGATTGCTGTGGACAAACAGACAAAATTCTATTCTCTAATTTCATCACTCTGCTTTCTTCTTCAGCTCACTTAGGCCACCAAACAAGCCCATTTTAATGCAACTGGTGGTTCTAAGAGTCCACATTTGCTGGTGAAGCCAATGTTGGGAGTTAGCAAAACTTAGCTTAGTATTTTCGATTTCGCTCAGGTCATATACATTTCCCCTCCTATTCCTCCATACATAAAAAAAATGTATTATGGTTTTAGGTTCTTCATCTTTCAGTCGTTGGTACGCGCAGTTTCTCTGTCTGTCTGTCTAAAAGAAGTTTGTCTTTAAAGAAAATCTAGTATTATAGATATAACTTTTCTTTTAAGCGCAATGTGCGCTTGTGATCTACCTTTATCTCATGTTGCCCACATCGTCTTGGCCACATTGCAACCAATATACTTTTCCTGCTTAGTGGTATGTCGCATGTCCAGACTCTTCTACGATAGCGAAAGTGCAAGCTCGTTCGTCACTGTGCCCTGGCACCCAAACTAGGTTTGGAAAAAACTACTTAGCTCTCACCTTGAGTGATCGGCGACAAATGTCTACCATTTTGATTTTTTTGTTTTAGATTTCAGTGCTTGTAGTGCTGCATGGCTATCAGAGAAGACTTGGATACGTTTTAGACAAATGTCAACCTTATTTTCGCTCAAAAAACGCCATGTTGCGCTGGTAGATGAAAATACTGACTCCAAGCTCTTTTGAATAGATTTCTACATCGAATAGTTGTCTAGTTTAGGCCCATCTTAATAGAATCGAAATAGATCGAACTTGCTGAACAGTGTTGGAACTATCATGTCCCTTTGTATCCGGCGTGACTACAGTCCCGATAAATCTTTTTGAAACATTTTGCAAGAGGAAGAATCATGACAACTTTGCCAGGCACTGCTTCGGTCCTATAAGGTGAAAAAAGGGTTCGGGGGAAAATCGTTTAAGCGCATAAAATATTTTTACTTTAATCTTATCTTATATATTATTAGTATTTTGTTTCAGTCCGCCTTCCAACCTTTTTCGGATTTAGTTAGCAGCTGCGACTAGTCCGTTCAGGGGTTTTTTGAAACACAACCATTTCTTGTACGAATTTTCTTCGATCACTGGGTTCACTATTAATTGATAAAAATGTATGAAATCATTTTTCATGCACTTCTGCTCTCTTTCGATGATACAAGTTAATAATAATTTTTCAGTTAAATAATAGGCTTTTTTTCTTTAAATGCCGTTCGCAAACACAGATGTTTCTTTGTATCGCAGTTTTTGGGTCTTTTGATATAAAAAATGCAAGAATAATAATTATTAATTATTACATTAAAATTAAATCACATTATTAAACAGTCAACCATAGGTTGAAGAGGTAAAGATTTTTTAAGAAACTTGTAAAATGAAAGTTTTGGCAAATTTTTTAATGATCGGTTTCCTTATCACCATAGCAAGCGCGGAGCAAAAATGTTATGGTGCACCACGTAAGTTTAATAAGGAAAAGGAAAAAAATATATAGTTATTATTTAATATAAACCTTAGGGACGCCAACTTGCAGCCAACTACGCGATCAAGGTCGCACAGGCTTCGGTTGTAGAGGCGGAAATCGATGGTATTACAATGTGAGTACGCGACGTTGTGAAAGTTTCGATTACTTCGGCTGCGGTGGTAATACGAACCGCTATTGTACGCAAAATGAATGCCAGCGGCGGTGTCATGGTTGGCGTGGATTTCTGGCGAAGGTTGGCATACAAGTTTGATGCTGGATGCGGTTGAGAATTAAACGGTTTTAAGGTTAAAACCTTTTAAGGATGGATAATAAAATCAAAATAAAAAAAGAGTTTTAATTTAGGTTTTAAAACTTTTTTGTTGAATTTATAATTCCTAGAAAGGTAAAAAACAAAAAATGAAATAAAAATAAAAAAATTAAATATTTTTCTAGAAATACAAAAAACAAAAAAAAAAAAAAAATAAAAATAAAAAAATTAAATTTCAGTTTTTGCAAGCTATTTTATTGTATTTTCATTGGAAAGAAATATAAAAAATAAATATAAATACATTATTTAAAAAGAATAAAAACTTAAATTGAAGAAATTAATAAAAGGAAAAAAATAGTAAAGAACAAAAAATTTACATTTTGTTAAAAACATTTTTTTTTTGTTTGCTTACTATTTCTTAAAAAAAAAAAATATACAGATATGAAAAATATAAGAAGTTAAATATATGAAAAAATCAATTTTAGTTTATGTAATGTATGCATGTTGAATTTTAACTTCCTAAAAAATTTAGAAAAATAAAAAAATAAATTGAAAAGAAAATTAATTTAAAAAAAAATTTATTTTAATTTGTACAAAATATTTTGTTGGATCTTCATCTCCTAAAATAGGTTTAAATATAAAAAATTAGATTTTTAGGTTATGTAATTTTAGTTGTTAAATTTATATTTCTTAAAACAAATAAAAATAAAAAAATAAAAATAAAAAAAATAAAAATAAAAAAATAAAAAAAATAAAAATAAAAAAAATAAAAATAAAAAAATAAAAAAATAAAAAAAATAAAAATAAAAAAATAATAATAAAAAAAATAATAATAAAAAAATAATAATAAAAAAATAATAATAGAAAAATAATAATAAAAAAATAATATTAAAAAAATAATAATAAAAAATCAGTATCGGGGGTTGTAACATCCTTATTTTCTAAAAAAAAAAAAATAAAAAATAAAATAAAATAAAATGAAATATACATAAAATATATAGAAAATTTAAATGGTAAAATATATAAAACAACCATTTTGGGTTATGTAAATCTTTTGTTTCATTAATATTTTCTAAAACAATTAAAAAAATATAATAAAGATTATAAAATATCCAATTTTGGGTTTTGTAAACTATTTTGTTGTATTTCTATTTCATAGGAAACCTTTTAAAATTAAAAACTATAAACAATTTCAATTTTAGGTTATGGATATTATATTTTTGAATCTCTATTTCAAAGAAAAAATATGAAATGATTGAAAAACAAAAAATTTACATAAAAATATTAACGATATAAAAAAATTTAATTTTATGTTATATGTACTTTTTTTGTTGAACTCTTATTTCCTTAAAAGAATTAAAAATAAAATATAAAAACATTGAAATTAAAATAAGTTAACTTTATTGTTAGTATAGAAACTAAACTAAACTGATAAAAAACATACATAAAAAATAAATTAAGTAAAAATAATCGGTTTTAGGTTATATAAATTATTTTTTTTTTTTAATTTCTATTTCAAAGGAAAACTATAAAATCATTGAAAAACAAAAATTTTACATAAAAATATTAAGCATATAAAAAATTCAATTTTAGGTTATGTGTACTTTTTTTTTGTTGAATTCTTAATTCCTTAAAAGAATTAAAAATAAAAAAATGCAAATTTAGATTATGCAAACCTTCTTGTTGAGTTTCTATTTTCTGAAGAAAATAAATACATAAAAAAATTAATTAAGTAAAAATATAAATTTTAGGTTATGTAAACTATTTTTTTGAATTTCTATACCATGGAAAATATATATATATATTACTTAGCTATTTTAAGGTTTCAAGTGTGTCAGCAGTTGTTTTTAAAAGTTTTCGCGTTTCTTAAGCAAACATGATTCTATTAATAAATATTTGTTTTTTTTTTAAAAGAAATTTGCATATAATTTTTCTTCAACATATTTAATTGCACAAAATAAGTTATATATTCTTGTGACAGTGGCACGTGTAGCGCTTCAGCACGTATTGGCTCATGCATTTCGTGCTTAATTATGAATTTAAAATTTAAGCAAGTTCGTTAAATGCGATAAAACAGTCTTGCCTATATAAATATATATGTACATGCATATGCATTTAAGTTTGTTCGTTTAATTATAATTTTCACGTTTTAAGTGTAAGCAAAATTTTTTTCATACCGTCAACATAAAATAAAATTTTTATTTTAAATTGTGCAAAGTCTCATCAGTAGATGGTTGATCTGCATAGGCAGCTGGGTAGGTTTGAGTGCTGCCCGAGGTATTATTGTACCGAACCCAAGTAGCGGTAGATGCTCAATTTAATATTTTTGCTAATATATTTCATCGTTGCACTCGAATTATTTATGTTTTTTTTTGGACTGCCATTCGAGGTAAGGTACCCAATAGGTTACAAGTGTTTTCAGCTGAATATGTGAGAGGACCAGACACGCTCTAATTTCCCCCTAGTTCTCATTTGCAGCAAATACTATGTCTACTACTCTTCCTAGGCCTATTTAATGATACCTGATTTCTTAAACTGCCATATCTCCACCTTGCCGGAAAGCTAAGTAAACAAGATCGAGATGTGACCATATACCGTTATATATATACTCTGAAAAGAGATGCTAAAAAAATTCTCTCACAGATTATTGCCTAACAAAGCCATACGCGGAAGACCTAGGGGCTTCTTTCAAAAGATGTAGAATTACTTGATGCTACGAGGAGGATAAGACCTCATTCCTTATCCCTCATTCGTCTGCGCTGTACTAAGTTGCAGCCGAGCTATACGTATTTTCTGTATAATCTATATCGGTTTGGCAGAAAGAGGATAAAAAGAAATACAGAAAAGTCGCAATAATGTCATGGCATCACAATGAAGCCACTGTGATTACGGAAGATTTGCTTTTAAATTGTGAAATTGATGAACCTAAAAGTGGCGAAGCTCTGGCTTGTTTACTCCACTTAGCAATCAAATCGGTATTTTATTATTCAAGCTAAAAAAGAGGCATAGGCGTAGATGTTGTGAGTAGAGGATCAGTGTCGTCAGAGTAAGGAGATTACAAAGATCGGAGAGCTGGTGATTTGCGAATCAAACAATAGATTAGCTGAGGAGCGGCACAAAAACATTATAACTGAAGGAGTGTAGAGTTCTTCGGAATTGCTGCTTTATTTTCCTAAGTTTGAATATATGACCTTGAAATTATACTTAGCATACTTAGTGATCACTCTGAGATGAAAGGACGACTCAAGATTGCCTCACACCACAACATCACTCACCGAGTATAAAGCTTTAGATTTATTGAGCGCTGTTTACGGCTCTTTAGGAGTAGTAGCCGTGAGCAGCAAAATACGAAGTCTGCTTCTATTGCTCAGTAGTGGGATCAATCTGCCTTATTGTATTACTTTGCTGCTGCAATATTAAATTATTTCCAGTTTTTGTAGCTGGAAGTGGAACTGACTTTTATAAATAAATATTTTTCATTCGTGTTTTTATTTATTTCTTTAGTCAAGTCTCTCGAAGGCTGCAGTTTCAAAGTTAATAAATTTTGTAATAATTTTTTTTTTTCATTGAAGAAAAGTCGTTAACAATAAAATATATTTTTGTCTAACACGTGTAATATTCATACGCTTTTAGCTTGTTCTTATCGGTTATACAACCTTGTATTAACATTACTATTTGCTAATGTTCATTAGTTATGATACCTACGGGTATATATGTACATATATCTAGGCAAGGCAATAAGTTTCAAATTTTTTTTTTTTTAAATTATAAGTCACAATGAACTGCGGTGTACTACTTTATCTAATTTTTTATACTCAGACGTACTATAATATATAAGATATAAAGTTTACAACCTGTCTCTACCTCAATTGCATATTAAATAAATTATGAGGAGCAGTGAAGTTTTGAAATTATTTCCAAACTATTTCTATGAGCTTTGGTCTATTTAATATTTTTAATAATTTAATAATAAACCAATGCATTTTTTTTAATTCATCTTTGTAAATTGTTTTGCTCTTAAAAAAATGTATAATTTTTAAAATATATTTATTTTTTTTACTTTACAGAAAATGTAAAATAAATCAAAAGGGAAAAAATGTGAAACACGAAAATCGTTAACCAAAGAATCGAAAAGTCATTACTTTTTAGAGCTCGCCGTAATACTTTTAGATGATAAATGTGCGCTAGAAATAACCCATCTTTAAAATATAGTTAAGTAAATACACACACCTATACATATATAAGCTATACAAATGACTATGAACGGGCTACTGGGACGCTCAGTACTGACTGATGGTAAGTTTAAATTAAATAAATAAATTATAAGTTATATTTATGTTTTTTTATTTTAATAAATTTTCTATTTGTTTTCTAAAATTTTTAAATAAAAAGTGTAAACACAGCTTTGTGCTGGCAGTTGTTTTTACATATATTTATATATATATATTATATATAACCGCTGCAGCGATTTTCAGCTGAGCTCCTTCTCCAATTTGTGGTTTTGCATCTTGATGTTTTTCCAACAAATGGAGGGACCTACAGTATACACTATACTAAGCCGCCTCTGAACAGCTGATGGTTGGATTTATGAGGCGATTTTTGATTTTCATGTCAGTAATACACTCGGCGGGGTTGACATTCCCTGCTGACGGAGGACCGCAATTAAAAACTTTAGCTTAATTTTTTATTTAAATTAATTTTCTATATCATTTGGATGTTGGTTGCACGGGTATTTGAACCCGAGCCTTCCGAATGGCAGTCTGCAGTGCTAACCATACGGCTACGGCGACCGCAATTTTTTTTATTTTTACAAGGCGAAGTAGTCGCCAAAAGAGAGTTTCCAAACGGACGCCTATTGGCCCACCAATCCATACTTGCTCTCCAATCGGAAGATCGTGTATATATAAGGTTGTCAAATATCTCCCTTCCGCTTTTTTGCTCTTCATTCAATGCTTTATAAAAAGTGTTACAGTGATCGGATTTAGTTAAAATATGCGCCGTTTTGTTCGATGATCTGTTTCCATCTAGACGGCAACTTCATAATACCTTCCTCGTAGAAGCACCCCTTCTTATTTCACAAGCCTCTTTTGAGTTCAACTTCACACCACCAAGGGCATTCGCCATGGACAGGAACAGGTGGTAATCACTTGGCGCTACGTCTGGGCTATATGGTGGATGCGATAAAACCTCCCATCCGAGCTCCCGTAGCTTCTGACGAGTCATCAACGAAGTGTGTGGTCTGGCGTTGTCCTGGTGAAACACTAAACCCTTCCTGTTGGCCAATTCTGGACGCTTCTGGTCGATCGCCTGCTTCAAGCGGTCCAGTTGTTCGCAGTACATGGTAGAATTAAGCGTCTGGCCATATGGAAGCAGCTCATAGTGGATGATTCCTGGCCGTCAATCCCGGCTTGGCCACTGTTTGGGACGATTCACCGGCCTTCGACCACGACCGTTTTCGCTGATATTGTCGCATGTGATCCATTTTTCGTCGCTAGTCACCATCCGCTTCAAGAATGGGTCGAGTTCGTTCCGTTTCAGCAGCATATCGCAGGCGTTGATTCAGCCCAGAAGGTTTTTTTGCGTCAAATTATGCGGCACCCAAACATCAAACTTTTTTTTGTATCCAGCCTTCTGCAGATGATTCAAAATGGTTTGGTGACTAACTCCCATCTCCTGGGCGATGCGTTAGCGTTGTTTTGTAGGTTATGTCAAGACCTTTCAAATTATGTATAGTGTTGCCAGATACGAGCTCTGTAGCGCTTTGTACATAGCCGCGAATTTCAAAAGACAAAAGAGCGGAAGGGAGATATTTGACAACCAATATATATATTTGGTCCCTCTCTCCCAAGGAAAAGTACTCATAATGCATAATGCCGCTGTAGCATATTAACGTTATTTGCGCAAGTCGAAATCTTGTAAGTACCTTCGGTACTTCTTACAGCCCTCTGAACTACGTAGTTCATAGATTACTGGGATGAGTTTCTTTTAATGCAAAATATAAGCAAGGCAGGTGTTGGAATGTCTCATTCATGGCTGGCTCTTCACAATGCCTACAAGTAACACTGTTAGTAAAACCAATTTTGCACCTGCTGCAAGTAACACTGTTAGCTACTCCATAGTTTGCTGGTAGGTTGTGAACTACAACTGTCCTGTCTTCTTGCTGTTTGTAGTGTCTTTCGACACTTTTGGCAATATCTTCATTTATTTAATTCCCTTCAATGTCCTTACGACTTAGAGCTCAGTTGATATGCTGTAACTTAACTCCAGTCCCCTTCCACCAATGTTTCATTGTTTCGAAGTACATATTCGGATATACTCTGAGGTCTTTCCTCAAATGATTTTTTATGTGAAAATACAGCACTGATCCGGCAGTCTGAAGGAGTTTTCTGCCCAACCGAATTCAAACAAACTTTGGTAGACATGCTACTTGCAATGGTGAACTAAAAATGGCTGACATAGTCTCGTCCGATCTGAGGTCTTAGCATCGCATATTTAAGGAATCAATCAGGAAGTCCAGAGCTTACTTTATGACACTGGAAAGTTTTTATGTTAGCGGAATGGGAGCGTTGCACGGGGTGAACAAGCTCTTTGGAATCGTTAAGTGTTCAGTGACTCATAATGAATGGGGTGCCATTGGTTTGTGGCGACTCCTCTCCGGGAAAAACCATGTTGCACAAGTGGCACAGTTAATTTAAACAAGTAAGGGAATCCCTTGAAGCCGACGGGCCAGAAAAAAGCATATAATTGGCTACACCACAAGTTAACCAAAATTTTGAGAAAAAATTGTTCTCGCCAATACTTGACCAAAGAAAAAACAAATTCAGAATAACTTTCTTGTCAATACATAATTGGATTTTAGGTTTTTGAATTTTTGCGTTCAGCCAATGTGTTTTACCACAATTCATTTAAAATGTGATATTTATAAATATATACATATGTATCTATATATTTCGAGCTTTGTATGCATCTTGATGTATTTCCCAAAAACGGAGGAGTCCACAGTTTATTTTGAGCCGCCTCCGAACGGTCGGATGGATATTTATGAGAAGTCTTGATTTTCATGTCAGAAACACACTCGGAAGGCTCGGCTCCCTGCCGAGTGGAAAAATTAATTTTCCATTATTTTGGATGTTGGCCTAACTAATACTTGAGCCCTGGTCTTCCGAATAACAGTACAAAATGCCAATCACTCGACTATCGCGGCCACCCAGATGTAATTTAGAATAAAAAAATATATTAAAATAAAAAAATATATATTTACTCTTTAGTGTGCGTGAATGTATGTAAACAACCCATAACGTTTTATAAAAATTAATTTTCAATTTTTTTTTTGCCATTGTTGGCCTAATTTTGATTTCCGCAAAAAACCTTTAATATAAAAAAAATAAAAAAAAAAATAGTTCAAATTTGCTTTTTGTTTTATTTTGCTGAGTTTCTATTTAATTTTTTTTTTAGTATTTAACTTACTGAATAAGTAATAATATTTGTACAGTTGGCGATTTTATACCGTGGTTACTTCTACATAGTGCAGACATTAGGGCGAGTCATTTTTTTATAAAAAATGTCGAGCTTGCTTCGGTGATGATCATACATATTTGGGGTTATAATGATATATATTTTACTCAGTTAAAAAAAATACGATAATAGTTTGATAAAATTAAAAAAAAAAGTTAAAAAAAAAAAATTAAAACAAAAAAAATAAAAAAAAAAAATTAAAACAAAAAAAATTAAAAAAAAAATTAAAAAAAAAATTAAAAATACAAAAAAAATTAAAAATATAAAAAAAATTAAAAAAATTAAAAAAAATAAAAAAAATTAAAAAAATAAAAAAAATAAAAAAAAATAAAAGCAAATTTAAGAAATTTTTTCTTTTTTACATTAAAAAAACAAATATTCGCGTACATCCAACTGATGTTTTTTGGATCTTGAATTAAATATTAAATAAATAGAAAATCAACCAAATCATCAGCTAACGTATATTTTGTAACTGATTCTGAAACCCTATAATTTAATGATAAAATATTCCTTATGTGGGTTAAATCTACGGTATTTTTATTTTATTCCAAACGCATTTTTTTAAAGATATTAACAAGTAAATTTATTAAAAACAGTCAGTTCGTGGCATTTAAGTAATATTACATTAAGGAGTAAAGCCATTCTAGAGGTTAAAAAATATACTCAGTTTTAAGGGGCACACCCAGTGTAATGGCCTAAAAAAAGGTGATTTTTGGGAATTTTTATTAAATAAAACACTTTATCAATTATTTAAAAAATTTAAGAATATATTCAAACATGTTTCAAAAATATACAGTGAAATTTTTGAAGAGATAAATTAAATGTTTTTTAAGTTATAGTCGACCTTCAACGGCGCGAAAAAAAGGTCCCTCACTGCTGCAGTGATTCCGGCCTTCTACGTGGATGAAATATAAAAAAAAAAATTCTCTACTATAAAATACTGTCTGTACAATGACCTACGGTAAAAAAAGAATCAAAAATTGACAATTAGCGTTTAAGAAAAAAATTGTCGAATTTTACCCAAAATTTTGGTCTTTTTTGGCCTGCCGAAATTCGATTTTTTGATCAGATCAAAAATCGATAGGCCATTGTACGGAGAACTATATATAGAACATGTAAAAAAATTCGATAGTGATCGGATCGTTTGTTTTTGAGTAATCACTGCATGAAATTCGGAAAATGCTGTTTCGAGAAAAACGCCTTTAAAAATAAAATGATCGTTTTCACTCGTAGCTAAAGAGACTCTCTAGCTGCCGAACGGCTGCTCTTTAAATTTCAATAACTCAAAAACTATTTGAGTTATCGATTTGAAATTTAAATATGTTATTTTTAAAGGTGTAATCTACTGAAAAAAGTTTTTTTTTTTGAAATTTCACACTAGTTGTGCTCTTTTAAGCATCTTTTGTAGGAATGTGGGAAAAAGAATGGAATTTCTATTTAACCATTTCATTGACCTGACCATATATTTAAATATAAACTAATATTCTTTAGTTATTATTTTTTTTACAAAATGGCGGTGGTAAAGTACATTATTTAATCCATGTTTTTTTGAAAGACCGATTTCTTCTAAAGGATGAGATCTAGAACAGAAAAGCAAAAAGCTTTAAGACCGACATACTGTGGCCTTTCGAAGTGCGTACAGATTTATTTTTTAACTAATTTTTGTTGACAGCGGCACACTTTTCTTTAAAAAAAAAATTTTGACTAAAAGTATGAAGCAAGTTATTAAAAAGAAGTTTACATTTAAACGGAAAACGGCTGCGTACTTCCAAAAAAAAATTATATATATTTGTAGCTACCATCAAAATTTCAGAAAAATCGATGTAAAAGGGTCCGAATATTCTGTCATTCCAGTTCGAGTTTTCATTGTACTCAGCGCAAACTCTGAGGGGCTGCAGCAATATAAAAAGTTCAGCTATTTGAAATATTTTTTTTTTTCACTTTAAAACCAATTGCATATCATTTCTAGGACCCACAGTGACCAAAAAAAAGTCCGTTTTCCAAAATCTTAGAGTGGCTTTACCTCTTAATTGATAAGACTACTTTTCCTTTGTATGAAAATACGCGAGTTACCAGCCGTGCCCAGTTTTGCTCAGCGAAAAAATTTTATTGCGCTCCTCTTTCAGAAAAATATTATTTTCAAGTCAAAGGAATTTTTAAAATTTTTCTTTTTGCAAATTTATACAACTTTAGTGCCTTAAATTGAAAATAAGATTTCTTGCAATTCTTCTCAGATACTTCTCTGCATTCACCGTAAGAGAATCATTAATAAATTGACCCAGTCTAATGTAAAACTTTCAAATGTAGCTCTCAAATGCAGACTTTTGTCAATGGACTAAAACTTTTTATATATAAAAAATACTAATTTTAGAAACTATTATAACAGGTGTTTTGTCTTTTATTTGTTTAAAAACAAAAAAAAAAAAAAATATTCGTTACCACTTGAAGATGAATGGCGCACTTAGAATAATTAGAAAATTTGTTGGCAGAAAACTTCATTATAACTTTGGCATTTGTCTCTAAATGTCATATTAAAATTGACACCGAAATTCTTTTTTATAAGTTTTAAGGTCTTAAAAATGAATTCCGTAAATGGTAATTTCACTGAAAAATTATTAAAAAATAAATCTAAAAAATCTAAATCTAATCTAAATATGTGTTCTCTCTTCCACTCCCACAGGATCTCGTTCGAATCGCCGTTCGTTGGTTTCGCTCATCGTCGGTTTGGTCGTCGGCTTTTGTCTTGCCGAAATGTTCATTTTATCGACACCAACGCGGCGTGAATATCTGCCATATGCCGGCCATCAGCATGGCGATATAAATGATGCGCACAACAGTCACGACATGCTCGGCGAGGAAGGACCCGAATCGGATGTGGGCGCACATCAACATGCCTACGAAAATTCCAGCATTGCGACGAAGTTAAGCAATGAAGTGCGTATTTTATGTTGGATTATGACAAATCCAAAAAATCATAAATCCAAAGCACGACATGTGAAACGTACGTGGGGTCGCCGCTGTAATAAGTTAATCTTTATGAGCTCAGAGTTGGATGAAGAACTGGGCACGGTGGCGTTGCCAGTACAGGAGGGACGCAACAATTTGTGGGCGAAAACCAAAGAGGCATATAAATATATTTATGAGCATCATTTAGACGATGCGGATTGGTTTTACAAAGCCGACGATGATACGTGAGTGGAGTGTGACTGGTTTTTAAGTAAAAAATTAATTAAAAATATGCATTTTCTTTGCAGCTATGCTGTTATGGAGAATATGCGTTATATGCTGTATCCATACTCACCGGAGACGCCCATATATTTTGGCTGCAAATTTAAGCCGTATGTGAAACAGGTATGTAGAAAGAGTTTCCACTCTCTATTGAATAGATGCGATGACTGCCCGATGTCTCGACCCATCTTTGGACTGTAGAAGTATGTAGATTGGCTTTGTTTTGAGTACAATGACGAGCGCACCTTTTTGTTTCTCATTCTCTAAGGCCGTAGAAGGATGTCTTGTTGTTTCTTGTTTTCAATTGGCGTACGTACTGCTTACACGATTATAGTCAAGTCCACAAAAGCCTACCAGTCATTTCTACCTTTACCTCTTCGACGACAATTGGAGACACCTAGTAAAACTAGATCCTTTACCACTTGATGTTCCTTCTTCTTTGTCTCTCGGAGTGTGTATTGCTTCACTTGGTTTTAGAGCTGGCATATTTTCGTGCGGTCGTACGAGAGTACCACGTCAGCGGAGTAACTGTCTCATCAATTCATTGTATGTGGTTGTTGTTGTTGCTGCTGTAACCGCAAAAATATTCCTCGAAAGTAATTTTTGGGGAATGTTGCGGGAGTGACCGTCCTTGGCCGGATAAAAATCCGGGTCGTTCCGGTATAAAGACCCGACTGTCGTGGAACTGTTGCATTTCAGCTGCCTCTCACAACGGGCATGCCTTACCGCGGTTAAATTCTTGAACCCCGAACCCGCACGCCGATGTCTGTGGTATTGACGGTCACTTATGTTATACGCAGAAGGCTACAGATTTTCCACAAAGCCCATCCCTTCAAAACTTACAAAGTCGACTCATCGAGTTTTCTTCCTTTGCGACAGAAAGTAGAATGAGAATGTTGAGAGATTTGTAGAGTTTGGTTCTTATTGGTCGGGTGGGACTAAACTTCTAAATTTTTTACTAAATTTAAAGTGGCATCGATTGGGAAGATTAGTTCAGCGTTGGATTTCAAGGCCGACTTTGTTATTGGTATTAATGCTGGTACGCAGCAAGATGTTATCGGGCATTTTTCTAAGATCTCTGTGAGACACAATTTGAAATCTTCTAACTATCCTTTTTCCAAAAGCATTTGCTTATCGGATGAATCATACTGAAACCGTGAATAACACCGCCTGGAGTTGACTACTATTATCGCCGGATATCTTTTTTCTCCCTGGCGGTAAATACTCTAGGGGGTTTTCTGCTTTCGGTTCCATATTTCACCTGATAAGCCGATAAATTTTGTCCTTAATCAAAACCGAAGAAGCTAATTGTCGTGAGAGCTCCTGTCTTTACTGAAAGCCTTCTAAGCGGTCTAAAAGATTGTGTTAAAGATATAGAGAAAAAATTGAATCATCAGACGGATTTTACTGTCCAAGAAAATTAAACAATTGAGACCCCTCTCTACAATGGAAGAAACAGGTTGGACGATTATCGCTCTGGAGAACAGTTTTTCGATTCGCAGAGAGTCGACTCGGTTAAATGATACTTTCTGAATCTGTGTGTAAAGATAACCATGTTTTTGTTGTTGTAGCAATTCGCTAACTCCTCTTAGGGAGAGGTTTAATCAATTTAAGTCACCGAGGTCATCTAATAGGAGGCCCAGGAAACGTGCTGTTTCGACGGGATTGGAACTGAGGGAGCGGAATTGCTTGCACTGCAAAGCATTATGTTCCTGTACAAGTGATGCCCCAGCGACAGGTCCCGAGAGCGGTGTTTTGGCAAGCTTCTTGATCTGCGTCTCGTTCTTCCCCGGTGCCCAGATGGGTGCAGCATAGCTTACGACCGGCCGATCAATTGCTTTGTAAGTTGCCAGCAAAGTTTCTTGGTCTTTGCCCCAGGTGCTGCCGGCTAGCGCTTTGAGTTTTGTTGCAGCGGCAATTGCGGTCGTATGCGCAGTGAAGGACTGCAGGTTATCTCGTGTGACTCCCAATATCTTTGGGTTGTTTATAGTCGGAATTTTTATGTCATTAAGCTTCACATCTAATTCAAGTCTTTACCACTTCGCCCAGCTGGTAAGCTTCTATGGTCACTTCGCAATTATCTTCTAGCATGAAGTGAGCGCAAACTACTAGCGTGTACCTTCGAATAGTCGTCTTCAAAATATTTGTGTGGTGGCTTCCAAGCCCTATGTGTAGCTCTTAAGAGGGTTCGCCTTTTAGATAACAAGAAGTAATCTAAAGGCGGAGCACGCTAGTTGCTTGAAACTAGTGCTTATTTCCGGTTGCCTGGACTTTTATACCAGATCCCATCCTATCAATTATAAGGTCTAGCCAAGCTGGACCAGTCGTTTTTATTCTCGTTGTTTTGCGCCGATTCGAAGTACCAAATAAAGCTACTGTCACAGTTAAGATCTGGATTTTGTAGCCCACTTAACTCCTCAACAGTTCGTTTCCTGGACCTTCGATTAGAGGACTTCACTTCACTTAGAAAAGTCCCGAATGCCCCTTCTAAGCGTGGTTGCAGAAGCACTACAACACCAATTGAAGTCGGATCGCTCTTCCTCTGATCCCTCAATCGGAGTTGCGGTCTTCCTCAACTTCTGCTTTCACAAGGAGTTCGGAAAAGTCTGATTTAGTCTATAATTATTGAATAATCTTAGACGTAAAATGAGTCACTCTGCTCTCTTCCTCAAAATGCTCAGCGTTCGTTCAGCAGACCTACCAATTTACCTGCTCTCTATGCAAAGAACGACTGGTATAATTAAAAAGAGCAATCCACCTGCATTTACAACTGATAAAATTCTAATTATTAAAATATTTTATTTCCAGGGCTACATGTCCGGTGGTGCCGGCTACGTGCTGAGCAAAGAGGCCGTACGACGTTTCGTTGAAAAATCCATACCAAATAAAGATTTTTGCAAACAAGATAATACCGGTGCAGAAGATGTGGAAATTGGCAAATGTTTAGAGAAAGTCAATGTAATCGCTGGCGATTCACGTGATCAAAATGCGCGTGGGCGTTTCTTTCCATTTGTACCCGAGCATCATCTAATACCGTCGCATACGGATAAGGGTTTCTGGTATTGGCGTTATATTTTCTACAAAACCGATGAGGTGCGTATATATATATATTCTATAAATGAAAATAATGCATTTTCCATCGCATTTCCTACAGGGCTTGGACTGCTGCTCGGATACCGCTATATCGTTCCATTACGTATCGCCCAATCAAATGTATGTGCTAGACTATTTGATCTATCATTTGCGTCCATATGGCATTATAAATACGCCCGAAGGGCTGCCGGATCGTTTGAAAGTGGGTCAAACCCTAGCACCGCCGGTAGAGCAGACAACCACCGACATAATTGCAACTGAGAAGAAGAGTGTTGAGAAGAAGAGTACGACATGAAAGTGGTTGTGAAAGCGAATGTGGTGATTTATTAAGTAGTATGTTTGTGCATACATGTGTGTGGAAGGCTTTTTGTAAATATATATGTATGAATTTCTGCATAACTTCATATTAACTACTAACCTACATACTCGTATATACATACGTGTATGTATGTACGAATGCTTGAAACTAGCAATACAGTGTCATAGACAGTAAAAGCTAAAAAAATTCTTTATACACACATATTGACATACTAAATATAAGTATTTGAGCTTAATCAGAAAACGACATAAAATTGTAGATAAAAAATCGAACTCTCAAAATCTAGCCAAGCTGTATTAAAAAAATATATTTCCGGCTTAAAATTTAATTAGTTTAAATAATTATTTATATATACATAAATACGTAATTATGTTTAATTTGTACAAAATTAGTTACATTAATTATATTATGTGAAAATATATTTTTATAAAATACGCTTAAGTTGGCTGATATTATATATGTATGTTTAAACATACATGTAAGTATGTGTCATTGAGTCTTTAAGGATTTAAAAATGATGGAAAATTAATAAAAAAAAATGCCAAAATTTATATGAAAAACGCATTTTCCAAAATGAAAAAAAATAAATAGTCTTTGTGTAAAATATTTCTATGGGTTTCAATTAATATTTTTTTACTATATATGTATAATATAAAAAAAAAATTTAGAATTTTCATAAAAAATTCTTTTCACAAAATAATTGATATGGGTTTAAATTAATTTTCTTTTTTCAAAATTTGGTTAAAAAATTCTTTGTACAAAATAATTTATATGGGTTTAATTATTATTTTTTACTGGAAGTATATACATGGTATGTTAAAAAAATTGATTTGAAAATTTGCTAAAAATTTTTTGTAAGAAATTAAAAAGAAATTTTTGTAGTATTTAAATAAAAAAAACACCAATAAATTACATGAATTATTTTTTGAAAAGTTTATTTATTTCATTATATATTATTTTTTTTTAATTATGTTAATTTTTTCCGCTTAAAAATGTGATGTAGAAGCGTCTAATTAAGTGAGCTCAAAATACAAAAAAAAAAACAATACTAAAATAAAATAAATAATTAATTATTGAATGCCCTTTGACTAGAGCGTACAAACCAAAGAAAATGCTTTTGTATTTATTACCAAAAAAATAGATTTAAATAGAAATTAAATAGTACCACTACTTAGCTGTTATGGAAATTAAATCAAATTAAATTTATTTAAAAGAAAATATAAACGAAATATTAATGGCAAAAAGCGTAGATTTTTCTATTAATTAAATTTAATTGATTTATACAAAAAAAAAAAAATAGAAAAAAATAAAAATTTGAGTATATATATATATAAATTGATTTTTATTTAATATTATCTGTATCTATTTATATTTAAAATTATCTGTATGTATAAACACGATAACGATTTCGTTTAAAATAAATTAATTTTATATTTAAAATAATTTATTAAAAAACAATTATGAGAAAACTAACTACTTACATATATTAGTAAGCACACATAAATGCATATTAATATATGTATGCTATTATAGGATATTATTATTTAATTTATTGTAAATAGAAAATCGTTTAGTGTATGTTATTAGCCATTTTTATATACATACGTAACACATACTGCATACATATGTACGCGTTATTGTGTATTATATAACTACATAATAGCGAAGTGAATACAAAAGACAAGCACAAAATGCATAAATACTAAAAGTAAATTAAAAAAGAAAAATACTATAAATTATATAGCGAAATCAAAAATTAAGTAATAAAAAATGCAAAAATGCAAAATTTGAAAAAATTAAAATAAATTGTGGTTTTTGTTAATAAAATATTTAAATATTAATTTGGCGCTTTGTAGCCGCTGAGGTGATTTTCCGCCGAGCTACTCCTCCAATTTGCGCTTTCGCGTCTTGATATTTTCACAACAAAAGAAAAACCAAAAAAAAAAAAAAATTTCTTAAGCATAAAATAGTTTGGGAATATCAAATACTCGCGTGTAAAATTAATAATTAGTAATTTTTGTTCGGCGAAAGTTTCTTGAAATTGAACCTCAATTCTTCTTCTCAATTCTTTTACCATTTATAGAACCAAAGCTTTAACTTAACTACGTTGCAAGTTTGTTTATTCAGCGCAAATAATAATAATTTTATGAGCTGGCAGTTTTTCCCATGATTCACCTACAACCACACATGCACCGCTTATACTAAAGAAGAAAAAGAAGAATAAGATTCTGAGCTGCCTTCGATCTAGTACTGTCGTGGAGACAAAATTTCACTCGTTTGGACTATTCACAATAGTCAACAGTCAGCTGATGCGGTTTATGCATAAGTTAAATAATAATAAAAAAATATAATATAAATAATTAAAAAAATTTATAATAATAAATTTACATATATAATTCTACCATAAATATATTTGCTACCCATATCACCTACCCATAGCCGGAAACCGAATTCAAACATAGAAATCATTGATTTTCACAGTCATTTATTGAGTATATTTTTTCATTAGCTAAACCATTCGCCATAAACAGTAGCGAATGGTAATCACTTGTTGCGAGGACCGGCCTATGTGGTGGATGCATAAGAATCGCCCAACCAAGCACCCGAAGTTTCTGGTGAGTCAATATTTATGTGTGTTTTTTTTTTTTTTTTTTTTGTTGTTGAGCTGGAAACCATCGAAAGCCTTAACCCCGTCATTGTGAGACTTTAACCCCTCTAAAAACACCTCACCCTTACGGTAACCCCTGGTACTACCTTTCAGTATTTCGTCGGGAGGCCGTCGGAGCTATTAGCTCAATAGTCTGGGTCGATATCGTTAGTTGTCATTATTTGTCAACCGTCTCGGTTTCAGTGCTCGTCACTATGTATCCAGTACGTAAGTTACCTGCTCCACATTAGTGTCAGTCGCTGGTGCGCTGTTCGCAAATGCTGCATTATTTCAGCAGAAATTCTACTAACTGTAATCCAGGCATTTTCACTTTCCAGCATTCCAGTTGCTGACAGTAGAGGTTCAGATTGCGAATTTGAGTCTAGAGGAGCAACTCTTAGTGAATGATTCCTTTGCCAATCTCCCCAATTTAGTACAATTTTTAGCTCCTGGGCAATTAATGACCAGACTCGAAGATGTCCATTACTTAATCGACATTTTCGACAAATGGTCTTCCACACAGTGGAGCATCTTTTATATGAAAATTATCGGAACGAATTGAAGAAACATGCATAGCGTTGTTTTGTAGGTTATGTCAAGACCTTTCAAATTATGTATAGTGTTGCCAGATACGAGTTCTGTAGCGCTTTGTACATAGCCGCGAAATTCAAAAGACAAAAAAGCGGAAGGGAGATATTTGACAACCTAATATTATTTACAAAGTTGCCTGACTTATGTTATGTTATGCGCAAAAACACTACTGAGTTAAGTGATCAACACTTCTCTCCCTGACTTTTTTTTGTAAAAAATATCATCTTTCTAACGCCATCGCATTAGTATAGGGTTTTCCAATTATAGGTTTTACTTTGAAATTCAAATAAACTGTTCTCTTAAAATATCGATGGTTTCGTGGTTGGTATGGCACATAAGGGTGGTGTCTTGTTGAAAGTAAACTTTGCCCAGATCAATATCATACATCCATTCGTCGGTTCCAAAACTGCACCAAACAGTTACAATTTGGGGTTAGAAAGGTTTTCAACAACAAATCTTGGGTTTCTCCGAACCCCAGATGCGTTAGTTTTTCTTATTGATGAGGCTTTCATCGAGTTGGATGTGAGGCCTCATCAGTCGAAATGATTATTCGATAAATTTTATAGTGAGTTTAAACCCTTTAAAAGCGCTATTGAAGCGTGTATTGTTCAATTTTATTACTGGCGTAGTTTTTACTTCAAATTTCAGAAAAATTACAGCTTCAAAAGTGACCCAAAAGTGTTTCAAAGTAAGACCTCTCATTAGAACGGAAGATACAAATCATTAAAGTCATCTATGATGATCTTTTACTTGACCGAATAATGCTGTCAGCAAAAGAATTTTTTTGTAAAATTAAAAATCTTTATTTATTCTTCTACATCGATTTCGTCGCCATCAAAATAGTCCCCTGCCGATACAATTCACTTATGGTAATGCTTTTTCCAATTATCGAATCATGTCAAATAGTCACGTTCTGGTTTTGCCTTCAGAGGGCGCGCCGATTCACGTTTAAGCTCCTCAATCGACTCAAAACGGTGTCATCGAAATGGAAAAGCCATAAGTCACATGGTGCTAAGTCCGGCCACTACGGTGGTTGGGGAACGATATTCGTGGAATTTTTAGCGAGATGGTCACGAAGAATAAGTGAGCATTATCGTGATGCAAAAACCACGAAGGCACTTTTAGTCGTTTAGTGAACACAAACGTAACAAAAATACCAAGGATGAAATTGACACAAAGTTTTTCGTAGATTCCAATAACAAAGAATTAACCAGAAATATTAAATACGTCCCTTTTAACAAAAAACTCGGAGAGCCAATTCTCATCATTAAGCGCGTTCGTCATGGACAGGAAAAGATGGTAATCACTTGGTGCCAGGTCCGGACTATAAGGTGGGTGCATTACGACCTCCCATCTGAGCTCCCGGAGCTTCTGGCGCATCCCCAAAGACGTGTGTGGTCTGGCGTTGTCCTGATGGAACACAATTCGGCCTCTGTTTAACAAAGATGGCCTCTTTTGGATGAGTGCTGCCTTCAAGCGGACCATTTGTTGGCAGTAGAGGGCCGAATTGAGCGTTTGGCATAGGGGTAGGTAGGTGATTCCTTGCCAATCCCACCAAACACACAGCCTTCCTGGCCGTCTATTCGTTCTTAGCCCACGTCTGGGTCGCTTTACCGAGCTTTGACCACGACCGTTTACGCACAATGTTGTTGTAAGTGACCCATTTTTCATCGCCAGTCACGTTCCGCTTCAGAAACGTTTCGATTTTGTTGCGATTCAGCAGCCAATCATAGACAGAAATTCGTTCCATCATGTTTTTTTTTCCATTAGTTCGCGTGGCACCCAAACATCGAGCTTTTTTTTGAATCCAAGGTCATGCAAATGGTTCCAAACGGTTTTCTGGCTTATCTTTAGTTCCAGCAATTAAATAAGTGCTCAAGTGATGGTCTGTTTCTACTTTTTACATGAATTTATCGCATTTTTCGACGATAGGCCTCCCGACGCGTGGTGCATCTTTGACATCGAAATTACCGGAACGGAACCTAGCAAATCACTTTTGTGCTACACGTTCGTTTACAGTGTCGGGCCCATAAACTAAATTAATTTTTTCAGCCGCTTTGGCTGCTTTTGCGCCTTGATCGAAGACAAATTGTAATATATAGCGAATTTTCTCTTTGCTGGTGTCCATCTTTGACGAGCGCCCCCAACGTACTGAGTCAATCAATCGAAAAACTGCCAAAGCCAAACTTTTAACGCGAATAAACACGTTTTCAGCGCCGTACAGCATGACATAATGCGACACGTAACACTAGTACTATGGAAAATAACGTCCTCTCTTAGATAAAAACCGAACGAACTTATTACTGATCCGATTCAATTAAATTTTTGGATGATATGGCCAAATATATTCGAATACATTTGTTCTCTGGAAATGAGCCGAAAATATTAAATAGAGCTCGATTTGTTTGAAAAATTGAAAATAAGATGCGAATGGAGCGTTCGGCTTACTTCGGGGCATTTTTGAGAAAGCGAAGAAAAAATCAGCATTATTAACATTAACCAAATGATGCTTAATTAGGCGGTTTTATCGTCCTTTTTTGACAAGAACTTGACAAAATACAAATAAAAATCTGGGGTGTTATAGAAATCGATACAGAATTGCTAATTTATCGGAATTTCGAAATTCAAAATCTGTCCCGGATGATGGATGATTTTAGGAATGAAGGACAATGAAAAACGGAGAGCTCTCGACCATTTTTACATCAAGTACCGCATGCCAGGCATTGCTGGTTGTAAAATCTATTGTTCATGACTTGCATTTTTATTAAATTTCCGCTTACAAAGAAATTTGCAAACAAATCTGATCGGTTTAATTCTGACATTTCGGACAAACGATAAATCGGTTTTTGCAACACCTAAAATCGACACAAATTCTGTTTCGAAAATGAAACCGATATGCAAGCCAATAATCGGAATTTGTAACCCCTTTAACAGAATTTTGTCGGTTTCAATTCTGATTACGGATATATGTGTATGTATATTTTTTAAAGCACACCATTTACTAAAAGCGAAAATACTTTTATTTATTACAAAAATAAAATATAAATATTTTTTTTTAATTATTTAAATTTTTCTTTTATTTTTTACATGTTTACAAAGCTACGATTCTTTAAATTTAAATTGCTATAAATATATTTACATATATACACTTAAAATAAATTATAAATTTTAAGACCACCTTTTACAGTATAGATTTTTATAGAATCTGTGGTCAAATTACAATTCGTTTTGAATATTATTATTTTTTTTTTATTAAAATTAAGACTTAACCGCTGAATGTGAGTTAACTCTACCGTGAAAATTACACTCACCTTTATGTTTAAAACACATCTTAACATACATATAGTGCATTTTAAAATATAATATAATAATATATATATATATTAATTACGTCACAGCACATATAAGGTGGCACCAATTCAAAATTTATAATTACAATATTTTTGAAATAATTTTTTTTTTTTATATTAAATACTTATTTAAGAGGCGTTACATGGGTTTCGCAGCTTCAAAAAACCGAACATATTTTATTATCTTACTAATTTCTACAACATCTCGAGAGCATCAGCCAAAATTTTCTGGTAGCTCCGAATAAAGGTTTCGGAGATACAGTCTTGAAAAGGACTTTTAACGTGTTTCTTCGAAACTGTGGTGTTGTTGTTGTTGTTGTTTGTGCAAAATATTCCCCAACGTAGTTTTGTGGAAATTTGCGAGTGTGACTGTACAAAATCCGGGTTGTTCCAGTTTAAAGACCTGACTATCGCGGGAATCTTTTGTATTTTAGTCGCCTCTTGCGACAGGCATATCTTACTGCGGCGAAATTTTTGAACCCCTATCCGGCAGGTGGTTCTCGAAACTTTGTATTTGAAGTCGGTTTTTGAAAATTCTCTATAACTAATCAAGCGATCTTTTTGAAATTTTATACAGGTCTGCGGTGATAACCCACGTGAAACTGGTTGAAGGATTGTTTTTTTTTTTCTTTTTTTCAGTCACAGTCATATAAAAAAGCTGATTAAATTTTGCAAAATTTGCTTTGATTTTGTAAAAAAAAGAAATTGCTCAAAATCGAATTAATTTTTTTTTATTTTTCTGCGTACGAATTCTGCTTACTATTTTTTTTTTTACTTCGAATGATCTTGCCATGACTTCTATTGTGAACACGCAGGCAGCTTTATTTCAATGGAAATGACGTCACTATGGCGGAGTTATGAATATTTTTTTTTTTGAGTTTTTCAGAAATTCTTTTCTAGTAGTTTAAATAGATAGATTTTTATTTATATGATACAAAAAAATTGAATTGAAATCAATATAAAATTGATAGAAAAAGGTTTTTCGATATTATATCTTATTTACATTTTAACTTTAAGATATTGCCACTTTAAAAATATTTCATATATTTCTTTTATTAAAAAATGATAAACCGTCTGAAAATAATAATTTTATTTCCATTCGATTTCAGTGGGTTTTCATGGGTACGTTTTATTTTTCTATATTTTTTTTTTTGTTCACATTGAAAGCTTTTGCAATTTTTAGAAATATTTTTTTAATTTTAAAAAGTTGAAAATGTATTAATAATAAACAAAATGATAGCACAAATTTAAGAAAAGTCAAAAAAAAAAACTTTTAATTTGCGTGAAATTACCTTATTTTTTGTATCATGCTACTAAATTTTAATCATTTTTGAAAAAAAAAAAACGAAAAAAACAAGGCGAGCAGAATAAATATTGCATGCGATTTATTTTGTTATTATTTTGTTTTGTTTGCAAAAAAATAGTTTCATGAAAGTATAAAATAGAACGAAAAAAAAAGCGCTAGAAAAGCTTTTTTTGGGCGAAACTGACAACGCAGCTTTTGAAATCGAACAATAAAAATGTTCAAACATACTAAAATCTGCATACGAAACTGAATAAAAAAATACTAAAAAGCTCGACCAAAGTAAAAAGTTTTAAAATTTAAGGGTTTTCCTCTCCTTTCTTTTTTTAAATGAAAATCCTTAAAATTGTATTTGGGGCTAAATGAAAAATCGTCTCACTTTCGTTAGAGAAATGTTTTCAATTTATACATACATGTGTAAAATTATTTACAAAAATTTTTTTGCTCAATAGTAAGTATTTAAAAAAAAAATTTATATATATATATATAATTTGTCTAATAGTAACACTGGTGGACTTGAACTTATATTATATTAAAATATGAAATTATTAAAATGAAGTTAAACTACAAAGTGTTATATAGCATATAACATATATATATATAATATAATTTGTAATTTTGAGTCTTGCTGTTTTTCCAACAAATAGAGGCACCAAAAGCTTTTTCAAAGCCACCGCCGAACGGTCAAAGGATTTTTATGAGAAGCTCATTATTTCCTAACAGAGAGTTTGAGACTTCCCTACCTAAAGCCGACCGCAATTAGAAAAATTAAATTTCTTTAATGGTTGGATGCTGTACGAAACGCATTGCTAACAACTCATATAATGATAAATATTATGATAAATAAAATTAACAAATATACATATAGATATAAGTAAGTACTCATAAAGGATTATCGGACTCTTCCGTTCGCCATTTTTCTAACAAATCAGTCATATTACGTTTCGCAGGCAGTGCTTCGATCTGTTTGAAAATCCCAAATGGGCGTAAGCTATATATCAGATAATCCAGCACATACATATAGGATGGTTGTATGTAGTGAAAGGATATAGCATAATCCGAGCAACAGTCGAGGCCCTGCAAATTGGTATAATAAGTTGTTAAAGCAAAAAAAAAAATAATAATAATTTTCATAACTCACATCATCCGTCTTGTAGAATATATAATGCCAATACCAAACTGACTTATTCTTGGGTATGATGTGCCCTTGCGGCCCGGTTGGAAAGAAACGACCACGTTTCAGTTCATCACGTGAATCACCAGCCACCACACCAACATTCTGCAAGCAGATGCCCATTTCTTTATCCTCAGAACCACCCGAGCGCTTGCGACAGATTTTGTCATTCGGATATGCGTCTACCATGAAACGGCGCACAGCCTCTTTGCTCAGCACATAACCAGCGCCACCAGACATGTAGCCCTGCGTGCGCGTAAGAGAGCGAGAGAGAGTGCTTTCAGTAAGAGGATATTAAATAAATTTAGTTGCACTCACTTGTCTCACGAATTTCTTAAATTTGCAACCGAAATAGACGGGCGCCTTGCTGTCGTAGGGATACAAAAAGGCGCGCAGATTTTCCACAATGACGTAACTATAAAATATGAGATTATACATTTATTTGAAAAAAATTCAAATAGTCCCTCCTTACGTGTCATCATCGGCCTTGATAAACCAATCGGCTTCATCAAAGTGATTATCGTATATATACTTCATGGCCTCACGCGTTTTATTCCACAAATTGCCACGTCCCTCCTTCACCGGCAATTTCACGCTGCCCAATTCTTCATTCGCCTCCGAGCTCATGAACAGCAAACGATTGCAACGTTTACCCCATGTCTTCTTAACATGTATCGCCTTCTTGGCATGATTCGCTGGACTCGTGAGTACCCAGCACAGTACACGCGTTTCATTATACAATTGTGCCGCTAATGTACTGTTATCCGCTGTATTCGTATAAGTTCGCGTGAGTAGTTCATCTTCTTCGGCTGGTAATAGCGTTAACGCATGACTGTCGTATTCTTCTTCGCGTGCGGAAAAGCTGCCCCTAAGAAAGCCCAATCGGAATCCACAATTTGTATTGCGTAGTTGTTGCGAGAAGGAAAAGCCGATTATGAGTCCGACGACCAACATTAATAACGGTCGAAAGTGGTTCGATATATTTTGACGAAACATTTTGGTGAGAGCTTCTCTTTGACTGGCGTAATATTCAAGATGCAGCACATCACAAGGGATAATTTATGGTGCTTTTAAGTGGTGAGCAACTGAAAAATTATGAGAGTAAAAGAAAAGTTAATGGCTTCTGTAGACTTAAATATAAAATAATTTTAATAAAAATATTGCTGTTTCGAACGGAGATGTCGCGTAAAGCATTCTTGAGGTGGTCCTCATCCAGGAAACTTTGGTAGTAAGATCTATACATTATTGTAGGTTTTTCTTCTTCCCGAGCGTTTTCACGGAAGAATTCTCTGAAAACAGTTGGAACGATTTATAAAAACTTGTTTATTAGCTTAGTTTCTAGAAGAAATCTGATCGCTTCTTCTTCTAAAATGCAGTTCAAACGGCTACTTGATTGCTTTATTGTTGCTTGTACGGGAGCCCTAATCCAAGCCTGCGCCCCACACAAGTCACGTGGCGAATAGAAGAGTGCTTAACTCTCTCCATAAATCATGCGGGATGTTTTTTAACAAGCCAATACGGACCTACAGTCTATAAGAAAGCTTTGAGGGTAAAATAATGTGGTTAAGGGAATAATAGAACCGGCTAAAGTCTATTCTCTACAGGTAGCCTTATCATAAAGGGTTTCTGCAAAGACTGTATGGTTCTTAGAACACATCAGACAACGAAACCCTAAAAGTTCTATTGCAGTGTGTTCCAGACCTACAACTTTGCTAACAAACTTGTAACTACAACATATACTGGAACCGAATGGTATGGGAGTGACCTGTGCGTCTTCAGTGATGGCCAGGCAAAAACAAAAGTCTTGGGTCAAATCAAGTTAAGTTCTAAACTCTTGAACAGAAGGTGAGAAGTACATTACATTTCTCCCAAGGGTCTCTAGTTCCAGATACATAGAGATAAGTCGAAAGTCGATAAACCGAAATGGAACCGATGAAGGTAGCATGTTTTATGCTCACTTGATAAGAAGGTTATTTCAAAAGGAATCGGGATCCTGACGAGACACTGCCTTACAGAACGATAAAGAAAGAAGGAGATAGGCTAAGAGCTCTATTTAGAAGATGCTCCAGGCGCTATTGAGTAGGAGCAGATGCTTTTCTACCTTTAATGCGATTGCGCTCTTCTTCAGTGTGTTGAGAATGTTTTCTTGGATTTGCTCTCTCGTGTGACAAAAGCTTAATTAAACGTCCCAATAATTGGCATATCAGGCTTAAGTGAAGAATGAAGCACAATAAAAAACAATAAAAAACTAGACCTCAAGGTCTAAGTTCGTCTCTGACTACCCTAAAAATACCCGACATGTGGGAAATTGGTAAGGTGGTACCTCTGCTACAATCGGGGAAACCAGTAAAACACTGAAAAGTTTATATCTATGCTCTTCCCAGTAGCGAAGACTCATGTCTAGGAGCACATAAGCATAGCTTCCGTAAAGTGCACAGCACCACAGCTGCGCTTGACGTCATAAATACCCAGAGCGGCCCTGCGCCCGAACTGTCATAGAAGCACTGAACCTGTCATAGCAGCACTGAACCTGTCAAAAGCTTCTGACATGGTCAGTCATTCCGTGGTGTACCATGAGCTACTGGAGTGGTCGTCAATCATAGGTAAGATTTCGAGGTCAAACATCAAAACACAGAAAGATTAAACAAAGTTTTCTGCAGGGTATTGTCCTCTCCACAGTGCTGTTTAATTTGTATATCTCGTAACTCCCTCATGCCCCCGAAGTGGTTTCACTGATCTCTTGGCCAGTTGATTGCTTGATATTGGCGTCTAGCCAGGATAATGATGATTAATGTTCGAAAATGAACTGCTATCCGAGAACCTTTCCCACTACTTCGCTGCAAGAAAATTGCGACTAAAACCAGCAAAATGCTCGTCTACTCTCTTCGCCAGCTGAACGAGCTTGAGCTTGAACTCGATGTGAAAGTTGATGGCATCAAAATTCCGACCACAAACAAACCAAATTTACTGTGAGTCACATTCGACAGCCGCCTTCACAATTGTCACAAAATCCCCAGAACTGCAACAAAATCCTTAAAGTGTTAAGTTGTAAACTATGCCGCGCTGATTTCTGCGCAGTGGACCAGCGGGACCCAGATGGAGAAGCTATAAGACTGCCAACACACCGACGTCAGGTCCGTGACAGGAAACCTTCTGATGTCCATGCTGCTAGTTATGAAGCATAATGTTTTTATGGAAAAGAAATTCCTGTTGGGGTGTTCCTTACGGTAACTTACTTTGCTACCCAGTCACAACAGAAAGGGAGTACTCGACTTTAAGGACTGCATTCTGCACCACCGACAACAACCGCTTTACAGGGCGGCTTATCGACATGAGTTGTACTCCATCAAGCGGTAGTACGTCAAAATCTTACTGAACTCTCTTTCAGAGGAGTTCTCGGTGTCATGACACCAAGTATTGCAAAACTTGAACCCTATATATCCAGGAAATCACCACCTCTTTGTATGCCCTCTGAAACCAATCATCTAACCCCCCTTTTCTACTAGTTCCAACCCGTTCAAACAACTCTTTTCCTGAAGAATTAGTAAGATAACTTCGATGACTAAGACTGATCAAGCATTCTCCTAAACGGGATTAGTAAACCGTTGGAACAACAAACAACACCGCTGTGAAGCTTATATAATTGAGAAGTATTAAAAGACAACTTCTAAGTAAATGGAAATTTTGCAACGAACGTTTTAGGTGAAGACACATAACCCAGGTAATAAATCAACTTTTCCATTTTCGATTGACACCAACTGTTGTTTTGTAAGCGGATATGACTCCATCACCAGACGTCAGTGTGCAACTCGAATGTTTAAAAACTATAGAAAAACTTATTTATTTTTATGAACTGCACACTGCATTACATAAGTTTTATTTTCGTCACTACGAAAGGTGTAACTGAGAAATATTTTTTTATACTTTATTTATTTTTTATAATATTACGGTAACCAATATCGTACTAAATTTAGTTTTTTATTATTTGAAACAAGTTTTTCAGACTCACTTTCAATTAGTTTCTTTATCACCTTCTGGGCTTAGCTACAAGAAGGTTGACATTTACCCTCACAGTAATAAATACTATAACTACATATTTTTGCATTTAATCACCCATTATTTATATTACTTCTGTGAGTGAGCAAAAAAAGCTTGTTTCACTTTTATGAATGAATGAATATGCAATTATGCTGATTGTAGCGCTTCTCGCATTGTTGACATACCAATCAACGCAACAGCAACACATGCACATGCAACAAGTGCTACTTGGCAGCTGCTAGCCAGTGATTTGGACCCGTTTATTCGCTTGGTGAGTCATACGGTCACGTTGATGTAATCACAGCGGCATAAGAAAACAAAACAAATGAGCGAAACAATAAAACAGAAAAAAAAAACGGTAATTGAGCATCAACAATGACAAAAATACAAAGCTCCGTGTTTATCAAAGAAAAACCCACAACAACAACAATGGCGACGAACGAGCTCTTATAAATACGAGTATATGAAGAGGTATGTAATCCACTGGAAGCTCTTTGTATACTCGTACTTAGTACATACATACTCGTGGTAAATAGATGCAGCTATTTGTTTTAAAATTCTAAAGTCAATTTAAAAAATAATTTATTTATTTATTTATAGAATCAAATAAAATGAAATAAAATAAAATGAAATAAAATAAAAAAAAAAATAAAATGAAAAAAAATTAAAAAAAAAAAAAAAAAAAAAAAATAAAATCAAATAAAATAAAATAAAATAAAATAAAATAAAATAAATAAAATAAAATAAAATAAAATAAAATAAAATAAAATAAAATAAAATAAAATAAAATAAAATAAAATGAAATAAAAAAATAAATAAACTAAAATTAAAATAAAAAAAAAATAAAAAAAAAATAAAACAAAATAAAATAAAATAAAAAAAAGGATAAAATAAAATAAAATAAAATAAGTAAAATAATATAAAAAAATAAAATAAAATAATATGAAATAAGGGTATATATTTTTATTTTATATAAGTTAATTAAATTTCGTTATAGTTAATTCAATTTAATATTTTATTGTTTTTTTTTTAGATTTTTTAGTTTAATAATTTTACTGAAATAATAAAAAAAAATAAAATAAATTAATTGAAACATAATAAAGAAATTTCAATTTAAAGTTTTCTAATATTATTTTAATCTTATATCTAGAGAACAAAAATATTTCAAATTGTTTGGTTTTACAGCATACCACTTAGTTTGCTTACTGTTTAATTAAGTTTTTTTGTTTTACAAATAAAATTTTATATTATTTATGAGCTTCTATTGTTTACATGTGTTTTATTTCATTTCATTTCACTTTTATTTTACTTCTTTCAGTTTTTTCATTTTATTTAATTCTACAAATATTTGCTTTATTCTATTTAGTTTTAAGTCATTTTATTTTATTTTTACTTTTGTTCTTTAGTTAAGTTCATTTAATAACAAAAATATAACATCATAAAATAAAATTTTGTACAATAAATTGCTATAAAGTATTATAAAATTAATATATTGTATATAAAAGAAAATTAGTTGAATTTGTTTAAACAAATGAGATGTGAATAAAAAGGATTAAAATATTTGGGCATCGCTTAAGTTAGAATTCCTACATTTTGCTCCTCACTGTAGGCGCAGAAAAATATTTCAAGAGCCGCAATGCGCTAGTAAACAAAATCAACACTTTTATATGAGCGCCTATATTACACTTTGTGCGAGCGTATATTATTAATACTGCCGCTGGCGCTGTCAACGCGTTAAACCCATTTAGTAAAGCGAGAAAAGAGAAGCGAGCAGAAAATGTTTAACAAAATGTAAACAAAGAAAGCAAAATGAATTAATTCCTCGCACATCTCGTCGAATTCACCTTAATTTGTAGCCAATATATCGCCGCGCACGCGCCACTTTGCTGTAAATAACAGTGTATATGTGTGTGTGTACAAGAGTACAAACAGTTATGCCTATATACATATCAATGTACATATGTATGGTCGTGGCACTAAAATGTCTATAATTGCTGCTGACTATTTGACTGACATACCGCATTGACAGACAAACAGACAGACAGGGTCGTTTCTTGTTGTTGGCGTGCCTCATCTTGCGCTCTTGGGCTCTTGCGCACGACGCCTACTGCCCGTGTTTGCCTTCAAAACGCCATTGCCACTTGGTAGTAAACAAAGCTCAGAGAAAAAAACCAAACAGTAAAATGTTTGTATTTATAGCGTTATTTTATTCGAATTTTTTTTTTGTAAATTCCACAATTATATGGTGGTATTAACTTTGTTCAAATCGAAATACTGAGATGAAAATATAAACTGTAAAATATACATATGTACAACATATGTAAATATGTACACATGCATATTAGGGATGCACATAAATGTAAAATAATTTAATAGAGCTAACTAAAAAATATATGTACATATAAATATTTATTACTCACTTAGTAGAATTTCTATTTTTAAGTGAAATAAACCCTCCCCCTCCGATTAGTATTTTCACTTTTGTGTGGTTTTTTGTTGAAAATGTATACTGTCTTATCCAAATATTCAAGCATCTAATTTTTTTACTGAATATGTGCTTCACAACATTCACATGTATGTATGTGTCTGTGTGTGTGTATATGCAGCGAGTTCGCAATTTGTGAGTACGGGCGTCACGTTGAATTATCGTCAAATTGAGTGACTGATGATGCAAAATGCAGCATAGTGCAGCAATTGTGGGCAAAATATAATAATAATTTTGAAAATACGAACAAATATTATTTACTCTCACACAAATGCCAGAAAATGAACAATGTGCAGAAATAAAATAGAGAAAAACTCATAAATTAGTCGTAAATTGTTTGAACGATTTTTTTCATAATTTTTAATTGGAAGGCTTTTTAATTTTAATTTATGGATATATTAACTATAAATTAAAGTATTTCGATTATTATGAGCAAATATGTACAATTCTAAAAAATACTTATTTTTTTTTTGAATCGTACTTTTTTTTTATTAATTTGGAAATTAATTTTCAAACTTAAAAAAAAAACCTTTGCTCGATTGCGTTGAAAACTTTCACCTAATATTTAATTGATTCTCAAATTCAAAATACTTTTCTACGTATTATCCTTTAATGGCTGAGGACAACAAAAGACTTATGCGACAAACTTGAAAAAAAATTGTATAAAAATTACAATTAAAACACATCATTAAAAAAATTAATTAAAATATAATTCTAGTTAAATGAAAACGAACAAGCTAAATAACAATAAAATAAATAAAATAACTAAAACTAAAAAAATTAAATAAAAACCAAAATGAATTAAGATAAACAAGTTTAATTTAAAATAACACAAAAATGAATACAATTAAATTAAAATAATTTAAACTAAATAAAATAAAATGAAATCAAATAAGGTAAAGCAAAATTTAATGCTTAAGTTAATTTTTGAATTATTTCTAAATAAAATAAAGCACAGCATAAATAAGAGAATAAAATAAAATATCATATATATAAATATAAATAAATTCACAAAAGCAAAATAAAACAAACTTAATCAAAAGAAATAAACTGAATTTATACAAATAATTTTATAAAAAGCAACATTAAGTAAAAGCAAACAATAAAAAAAATTAAAAATATATTTAATCAAAATAATTTAAACAGATTAAAATAAAAACATTAAATAAATAACTTATGAAATTAAACTCAAGTGAACTAAAATAAAATAAAACAAAGAAATATTATGAAAGCAAATATTAATTAAATGAAATAAAATAAATAAATTCAAAATTAATAAAAATAAAATATTTTGGTTGGACAAAAAATATAATGAAAAATTAAAATAAAATCAAATAGAACAAAATTGAACTAAATTAAACAAAATTTTAACTTAAAATTTAAACTAATAAGCTTATAGACTAATATCAAAAGCATAATTTAAACTGAAATAAAATATGATAAAATAAACTAAATGAAATGAGGTAAAAATAAAAAGAATAATAAAATTAAATAAAAAAGACATTTAATAAAATATGATGAATTAAAACCAAATAAAAATAAACTAAAAAAGTTGAAAAAATAAAAAAATAGTATGAAACAAAATCAAATAAAATGAGGTAAAATAAAATAAAATACGGTAAAAAAAAATATAAAATAAAATAAAATAAACTACAATAAAACAAAATTGAATAAAAAAATAAATCTAATTAAAATAAAATTAAATGAAATATAAAAATAAAATAATATAAAATAAAATTGAATTGAATGAAAAAAAATCTGATTAAAATAAACTTGAATCAAATGAAAAAAATAAAATTCATTAAAATAAAATAAAATAAAATAAAATAAAATAAAAAAGAAATAGAATAAAACAAAAAATAAAATAAATGAAATAAAGCAAAACAAAATACAATGAAATAAAATAAAGTAAACTGAAAAAAAAAAATAAAATAAAATTAAATTAAATTTAAATATATTTACAAATATATAATAAAATAAAAACAATTTAATAAAAAATGAAATAATAAAAAAATTAAATATATTAAACTGAAATAAAGTACAATAATATAAAATAAAGCAATATAAAATAAAATAAAATAAAATAAAATAAAATAAAATAAAATAAAATAAAATAAAATAAAATAAAATAAAATAAAATAAAATAAAATAAAATAAAGTAAAATAAAAAAAATAAAATAAAATAAAATTGAACAAAATAAAAAAAATAAAATTTGTTAAAATAAAATAAAAACAAATTAAAATAAAATAAAATAAAATATAAAATTATATATTAATATAAATTAGAAAATTTTATTATAGTACAATGGATTGAAATAAGAAAATCATATAAAATAAGAAATGAAATAAAAAAAAATTTAAATATTAAAATTGAAACACGCATTGAAATAGTATAAAAAAAAATCAATTGAAATACAAAAAAAAAAATTATTTGAATAATAAATGAATTAAATTAAATAATATAAAATAAATATTATTAGATAATATTATATTAAAAATAATTTTAAGTAATATAACATTGAAATAAAAAATGTAAACCATAGGAGAATACATTTAAGTGTAGTAAAGTAATAAAAATAACAGGTAACTAAATAATTACAATAAAAAAATAGAATTTAAAAACTTAAGTAACTAAAATGTTAAATAAATTGTAAAATATTAAATAAGAAATGCTAAGTGCCAAAGACAATTCGATCTAAAAATACGAATATTTATATAATAATAAAATTTGAATAGATAACTCATACCATATTTCAATAAATACTCTAAAGCATATTAAAGATGCCATTGAATTAATTGCAGAAATATTTGATTAACAAAGCACACGCAGCTGATAATAAAAAAGTCGAGAGAGAGTTCCTGAATATGAAAAACAAAAATGGTAAAAAAAATTTTTGAAAACAACAGAATATGATCCAAAAAAGAAACAACTCGCGTATATACACACACATGTATAAGCGTATGTACCATATTAAAAGGAGATGCACGTGATTAGCTACCATTTATAAACAGAACAAAACCAGTTTCGAAACAACACAAGCATATTTAAAATATCAATTGGTATTATACTGGGTTTATGGTAACTGTAAATACAGAATACTATATTTATATTTTATAATTAATTTACTTGACTATGCAGAGTTATTGTCTTTCGGAACGGAAGACTGGCAAATATGCACAAAATGCCTTATTGATAAGATTAAAAGAAGCAAATAATGCCAGCCAGTAATTTTAGCTTAAGTGACAGACGGTGATCTAAGGTACCATACAATTGTCTTATCACATTAAGGAGGATGCGAGGCTTATCACTTACCGATATTTTAATTAAAATTTTTTAATATACAATCACAAAGCAATACGTTTTTTTTTTTTAATTCATTAACAGCACAACATGCACATATATAATTAAATTTGGTTTTGAGTTGATAGACATCAATAAAAATATTTTTCGGCTTTTTGTTTTTTGTTCTATCTTACAGCTCTGTAAGGTATTGTTGGCCATCAAGGCTACTTTTTAATTTGTATTGATAATTTTTTGTTTTGATTTGCACAACTTTAAACAATTTTTCAATTATATATACACTATATACATACACTACATATATAGGCACTTGACATATTTAATTTATTATTTTATTTTATTTGTTTGCATTGATTCAATCTGTTTTTTTTTAATTTCGGCTAAGAAATTTAAAAACTCATTTGCTTGTGTTGCTTGAATATTTTTTTTAATATTTTTGCTACAAATTTTATTCATTTCATTTTGGGTATTTTTTCATTTATTTTTAATTATTTCAGTTGAAGCTACTTTAAACATACAGAAATTGCGGCAGCACACACTGTTAAATAGCATTAGTGTATAGGTATGTATGTGCATACATACTTGTGTGCAAAAAATATGTTTGAAATATAATTGCAATAATAAAATAGCACGATTTAAATTGAAAAAATTGCTTGGCGAAAAACATACACTTTGTATACATTTTATTTAATTACTCAGACGTGTTTATACATATACATTTATTTACACTGGTATTTCCGTCGTGATTTTCTTCTGCATTTATTGCAAACTAAAAATTATTAGCATCACTTCTTATATTTATTCATGTCAATAATTATTTATTTCACTTAACTCATATTGCTTTATATTCCATTCAAACATACATATACATATATACATATGCACTTGGGTATATTTATATGCACGTTCTTTATGGCTTCTGTTGCAATATTTACATAATACTTTCAATTTTTTTTATACCCCCTTTCATTATATTTACACACTTACATATATGTGTCATATATGCACTGTCAATAGTTTTTGTTGTTGTTTCGTTTATTTTTAATTCTACAATTTATTTGTTCAATTTATTCTCCAATAGTTGCAAGAAATACTGCTTCACTTCAAAATCACCAAATCCATTTAGCTGTCCGACAACAATTTGAATCACATCGTCAATCGTCAACGTTCCTCGTCGACTGAGCGCGAAATATACTCGATGAGTGTAGCGAAGGTAAAAGTATATGAATTCCCGCGAGTAAGCGACGTTGGCGCAGTAGTATAGTGTCTTCTTCACAACGACGCAGTTGACGTTGTCGGCAGCGGCGGCGACGATGATGCGTTATGCATATACGTACTCGCACAATATATGTGTTGTTATTGCCGGCTATTTTATGTCGTAGGCTTTTTATTGTTTTGTTTATGCTTGAAACATGCATGGAATTTTAAAATCTTAAACATACATATATATCTATAATTATATATATATTTACATACATATGTGTAGCTAAAATTGTCGCTTGATAATATTAAAATATAATATTAAAGAAAATACACAGAGTTTTTTTGTTCAGCACTCTGCTGCTGTTGTTTTTTACTCTCATTCTATGCAAATGAGATTTATAATTAAAAAAAAAAAAACTTTTCATACACATTTTGTTCGATATTCAAACTTTGAATTAAGTTAGCTTTGCTCACTTTATTCGTATTAATTAATTAAAGTTAATGAGCGTCATTAAATGTTTGTGTTTTTGAACTAATAATCTGTGTATATAGATATGTATGTATATGATGAGTAAATAATGAATGTTAGTGGTAAGCTAGCTGGGGTTTTTTCATTTTAATTTGTGTTTTTGTCTCAGCTTCTTAGTATTTCAGTTTAGCAATTTGGGTAGGTTAGTAAAAAATTGGCTGAAATGAGAACTGGGATAGGCTTGATTGGGTATTTTCTCATATACCCTAATGAACTAATTAGTTTTGTATGTATGTATAAAGATTAAATTTTAATAGCATGTCCGTTTAGGATCCAAAGGAGAGAGGATATCTTCCGTTCCGCCCTGCTCTGAAAAGATCTGCGAATTCGGAAATTATTATGATTGAGCCTGGAGCTTTCTGTTGCTGCCCGACTGTCGTGCTTCTTCTGTAGTACTCGTTGCCTGTGTATTTAACAGCTTCCAACAAAAGAAAAATGAAAGTTCTAAAGGATTAATGACGGAAAACACCGCCTCCACTCAATACTAACCGTTAAAGTCGGTTGCGACCGAGCTGCTCCTCATACTTGTGATGCGTGTCTCGTTGTTTTTCCAACAAGAGGAGGGATAAGCTTTGATTTTCGTATGAGAAATGCATTTGAAGGGGCTTGACATTCCCTGCCGATGCCGAGTGATGGGGGCAAATTGTAAAATTATTTTATTTTTTCATTTAAATTATTATAATATTTTTTGGATGTTGACTGGATAAGCACTCGAAACATGGGCCTTCTCTATGTGTACACTAAGTACATTAAGATTCGATTGATTAATATTATTGAGCTGGTTTCCAAAATTGTTATTAAGCCACTTTCTCGATGGTAGGCGATTGCATCCCAATCTTTCCGTCAGAGAGGTTTAGTATTACGGTGGAAAAAGACCAGCTCGGATGCACAAAGTTCGCTACACTTACAAACAATGTCGAGTCTTTCGAAAATAACGGATTATTGTATGCTTTAGCTGGCCAAGCAACCAGACTACCTGATTCAAACAGCGACTCTAGCAACTATAGACTTGCCTACATTACCCAGGTTAGTTTTGAAACCATTGCGCTGACTAATGAACCCCTCCCCTAGACTATTGACTTTCCCCACAAAAAAAAAAAAAACTCAACAAATTCAGTAGGATTCATGGTGGAATATACTGATTTATAATATAAGAAATCAGTATAAAAGCAACTGCGAATTTTTAATAAGTCGGAAAATCAATTTTCGGTGCTAACCGTAATACGCGCTATCTTACTTTTAAGTATCTTCATCGTATGCATGGAATATTAGTATATCAACTCTCTGCATTCATATCTAATTCTTTATTTTTACAATCATTCCTCTCCTCAGTCACACTTTCAGTCCTTTCACGAACGTGCTTGGCATTTAAAATTGTCTTAAAACTCAAAAAAAAAAAAAATTTAACGAACATTGCATTGGTGAAACAAATTCAAACTTCCTCCTGTGGCTGCAAAATACTACAGAAGCTACGTTGAATATAAAAATTTTGTATAATTATTCTATAGCGAGTCCATGAGTTTTTGTACTTTTGGGCAATACCAAAAATTTCGTTTGGTAAAAAAATAATTATTTTTATTTGTTATAAGTAAATTGTGTGTTGAAAAATCTTATCACATTTTTTATAATTTTTTTTTTATTATACATTTGTATATATAAAATAAATTTTCAGTTAATTTACATACAACATATTCACATACATAAATATTTTTAATTTTTTTGTCATGAATTTACAACTACAATTGGTTTTTTTTACATTTCTTTCATGTAGCAAGTTAAGCCGGCAATTAAAGATTTGGTTATCTTTTAACATATTGCTGGGGCCTGAAAGTATGCTACATTACAATAATATTGTCCAATGATTGCGCACTAAACGTATTGTATATGCAGGCATATTAGGGTAGGTGGGACGCTTTAGAACAAAGCAAATCAAACCTTTTTGGCAAAGCTGAATCATAAAATTCATAGAAATATATATATTTCATGTTTATAATAATTTTTTTTTTTTTTGAGATTTATATTTGCGTTTTTCTTGTATTTTAAAAAACAACTAGCGAAAAAATAAGCAATTTATAGGCATAACAAATTAATCAGTAAATCTTCTTTCAAAATAAAAAACTATCAAAAGGTCGCTTCTTCCATTGCTCAAGGTGTAGTTTTTCAAGCTTGTTTGTTAACATTGGAAACAAAAAAAAAAAAAAAAAAAAAATCACTGAGTTAAGCATATAATCTTTCAGTACTTACTTTTATTTAAAAATCTATGGAAAGCATAATGAGACCCATTATACAAAAATTTAAAAAAATCGAAATTTTTGACACCAAACATCACCTGTCATGTTTTCTTCATGGGAATTTTTACTTTTCATTTACAACTAATAATTTATATATCTTTATATATACAATATGAGAACATACTAAGGTTGTCCGTAGTTAAAGCTAAGTCTTTTTAAATATTTCTGTTTTTCTATATACTAAAGCTTTGTCTTAAATGACTGATAGATCAACTCACGGCCTAGGCCACTGATCATACAAAACTTGGAAGGTGTGTTCTGCGTATTTCGTGGGCATCCAAAAAGAAATGATTTTCCAGGAATCTTTAAATGCAAAATGTAAAATAAAATTTAACTTTAAATCGTTCAATTTACACGAAATTCGGTTCAGAGGCAACTCTTCGCTTCGAGTGTTTGAAGGAGCTGGGATTTCGGTTAAAATGAACCCAAACAAAAAATCTTACTAAAACCAATTTTGAATTTGATGCGCACGTTCGGTTAGGCGGGAGGTGGGCAACGCTGGGTTCTACGTAAAAAATCTGTAACACTATATAAAAGGCAGAAATCTTATTTTTTTATTAATATTTTTGAAAATTATTATATTAATTTTTCGACGTTGCATATTTTTCAATGCAGAGACGAAGACGAAGCACGTCAAAAGGGAAGTATGACTAAATTGCATTTAAATTATTGTATAATGGTCAGACCGCACCGGACTTCCACGTATATTTGGAGTAAATCGAACTTGGTTATAGGTCAATAGTTCATTTACAGAATTAGATCAATCTGTTTCGAAATATGAATATTCAAGAATTTGACCCAACTGCAGCGGGAACTATTGCACTTTAGACGCCTCTAACCCGCAGACTTTCTTCTATGCATCTGCTCTTTTTAAGCAGATTCCACTTTACATAGCTTGTAAAGATGATATTTCAGGGGGGGGGGGGATATTTCATCCACAAGAGTACTAAGTTCTCGTTTTCTTAACGTTAGTAACAGTTTGGGCTGTCTATACTTTGGTGGTGCGTCCTACGGTGGAAATGTTTCAGAACTTCAAGTGCTCTTCATGTGTTTTGTGTGATTTGAAGGCGCGGAAAAGTCTAGCGCAGTCGCTGGTTACTCATAAACTTTTTCATTATATTCTACATCCGTTTGATTCGGGCTACAAGTAATATTCTCTGTGTTTTCACGATAGTCTTTTAATTGACTCTAATTACCACTTGACAGTCTGCCAAAAATCTGATGGATCTTACTGTTAAAGCGAATGCCAATTTGTCTAAAACCAAAAATCTCTGCTTGTAAGGCAGAACTGTAGTCACTACCGGTTTTCACAAGCTTTTAAATTTTGCTCTAAATAAAGCACAGGTTTTATAAACTTTACTCTTCAACTCTATTCTTTTGAGGTTATTCCAATAAAACAGATTTAATATCGCGATGACTAGTTGTTGGCGAAGGATTTATTTTTGTCATAACATTTTTATTCCAGTGAATCTCGTGGGCTCTCTCTCATACTGAGACCAAGCATTAATTATTGGGTAATATTCGAGCGAAAAGAAGAAAATATAGCAGTCATAGATGAGAGTGTATACGAAGACCGAGTAAGAAACGATGATGTATGGACTCCTGATAACTTCCAAGAAGATCCGACATTTTCGAGTCAAATTTTGTTCAGCGATGAATCCCGTTTCCGGCTCAATGGGTATGTAAACAAGCAAAAGTACCGTAATTTGGACGAAGAGCAACCTGGCGACCATTATCACATCATGATAACGGACTATTTGATGTCACTTCCCATACATTGCATCAATCAATGGATTTATTGAGACAACACTTCTGTGAGCAGATAATTTCACATTTTGGGCCGATCAATTGGTCACCAAGATCGTGTGATAGTACACCGTTAGACTTTTCCCTGTCTGGATATGTAAAACCTAATGTATATGCCGACAATACTGCTTCTATTCAGGCCTTTGAGCGAACCATCACGCGTGTCATTCGCCAGTTACCAGTAGAAAAGCTCGAACGAGTCATCGAAAATTGAACTCAACGGATGGGCCATCTAAGACGTAGCTGCGGCCAACATTTGAAAGCGTCAATCTCCAAAAAATAAATGCCAAAAAAAAAATGCAATAAAAAAAATTCCCAATTAAATTCTTTTTTTATTCTGTGTTTCTTCTTTTAAAAAATTAATGAACTTTGAAATGATTTTAGTCCAAATTTTGGTTATTCTGAGAGGATTCATACACACTTCGACATATTGAAGCTTTGGAGTGGAAATTTTGTGCGTCGAAAAGTAATGAAGAATTTTTAAATTAAATCTGATTGAAAATCGGTTAGAATTAAGAACGAGGGAAGGGATCTGTTAACTTACGCTCAGAGACTGTTAAACTCGCGATTTAAATTTAAATAATGCATTAGTATGAGAATTTGTGAAGTTTGAAAAATGTTTGGGTAGAGAAGCACAAATAATTTAAAACTAAATTCAGTTCTTAAAAATCCCAAAAAATTTGGACAAAAATTTTGTGAGAGCAGTCAAGGGAAAATTGAAGGGAAATTATATTAAATGTGGAAGATGCATGAGAGGAAAATAGGAATTTCAATCTGATTTCAATTTTGGTAAATAAATTATTCAACTTCCGATTTGAGTTTCAAATTTAAATGATACGAATATTAAAATATGTCCATAAGTCCATTCGAATAAAAACTCAAGAAGTCTGTTTTTTTTGCTGGTAAAAACTAAAACTAATTATATTTAATAATTGCACAATAAAAAATTCATTCAACTACAAAAAAATTAACCATTATATAACAAAGAATCAGCGCAAAGAGCACTAAACTCTTATGGGTATGGCCCTTTACCGTCACGTGAATCGACGGGGGGCGTCAAGTAACTGTCACTTGGCTGCACTGGCAAATCGATGCGTGTTGTGTCGGTGCTCTCCTGCTGCTCAACTCCTGCCACTGTGGCTGAAGCCGAAGCGGCTGAAGACTGCTCCAACGAAACACCAGTGGTTAGCGGCAACTCAGCAAGCTGAGCAACGGGTGCAGCAGTGCTGGCGGGCGTGCGTACCGTCGGCAATGGTTTCAAGGCAAATGGCACACGATTAACGACAGCATTGAAGCCACTTGGACCATCGACGGTGTAACTAACAGTGCGCTGGAAACCATCGGGGTCCACAACAGTATATGAGCCCTGTACAAAGTAGCCATCGCGAGCCTCGGCATGCGACTTAATATCATTAGTGTCTTCATTATGCACATTGTAACTGTAATCGTATTTGGCGGGTGGATTGTATTCCTCAACTGGTGCGGCGGATTGATGTGCCTGTGCGCTGAACGATGTCTGCAGCCTGCCGAATGTGCCAACACTAGACGCTGACGACGAGGATGACGAGGATGATGAGGATGCGGATAGTGCGGCTAAATTTTGTGGTGTGTAATCATAACCGACTGGTGTGGGTACGCCGTTGGTAAGTGGCTTTTCTGCGCCGCCATTGTTGTAAGCATAATTATTTTGTTGTTGTTGCGGTAGTTTTAGCTGTTGTTGTTGCGGTGCGGCATTGTTGTTATAATTATTCTTGGGCAAATTATTGGCATTGTAGTTGTAACCATTTAATGTGGACTGCTGCTGTTGTTGTGGTGGTGCCGCATTGTTGTTGTTGTTGTTGTTGAAGCCATTCAATGCCGTCAATGGCGCGCTATAACTATTGGCTGGCTGTTGCACGCTATCGCTGTAGGTGTTGACATTCTTATTGTTGTTGTTGTTGTTATTATTATTATTGCTATTGTTGCCATTATAAAGTTCTGGATTATAATCGAACTCAGCAGAAGTGATGTCAGCGAGGGCCGACAAAGCAACTATGCTTACGAGGAAGACAAACTGTAAGGGAAAAACAAATGAGCTTAAGCGAAGCTTCGGGATCTTTCAAATTTTTTTTTAATTGATTATTTTAATTCAAAATTTTTTTAATTTTTCATTTACATAAAATTTTTTTTGTATATTTTTTAATTTTTATTATAATTTTTCTTAAATTTTCACTCTTTTCATTAAATTTAATAATATATTTAAATTATAAACTTTTTAATTTTTTGTGTTCTTTGCTTCACTTGATTTTTTTACTTTTTTTTAATTAATTTCTAATTAATTTTTTTTTAATTTGAAAACATTTTAATGTTTTATTTTCTTCTTTTTTGGTTTTTGTTAATTTTTTACTATTTTAATTTATTTTATTTACCATGTTTTTATTTTTATTTGCTTCCTTATTTGTTTCTTTGTATTTTTTATTCTAATTATTTTAATTTTTATTTTTTTTCAGTTTATTAAAATTCTTTTATATTAAAAACTTTTTAATTTTTGATTTTATTTACTCAACTTTTTTAATTTCCATTTTTTTATTTTTTAATTTTTATTCTAATTTCTTAAGTTTTCATTTTTATTTTTTTTTTTTTTAATTGAAACATTCGATTTTTTTATTTTCTCTCTTTTTTATTTAATTTCTATTTAATTTCTATTTAATTTTTTTTTTTGAAATCTGTTTTGATTTTTAACTATTTTAAATTTTTTTATATACCATGTTTTTTATTTTTTTTCTAATTATATTAATTTTTTAATTTTTTTTAATTTTTCCAAATGGTTTTATGTTAAAAACTTTTTAATTTTTTATTTTTCTTTACTCAACTTTTTTAATTTCCATTTTTAAATTTTTTCATTTGTTTTTTTAATTTTTATTCTTATTTTTTAAGTTTTAATTTTTTTTAAATTTTTTTTTTAATTGAAACATTATATATTTGTTTTTTTCTTTTTTTAGTTAATTTCTATTTATTTTTTTAACATTTTAACTTTTTTTCTTCAAGCTTTTTTATTTTTTTTTTGTACATTTTTTACTCTTTTAAATTTTTTTATTCACCATGTTTTTATTTTTATTTCCTTTTTTTATTTCTTTTTACTTTTAAGTCTTTTTATTCTAATTTTTCTTAGTTTTTAGTTTTTTATTTGTGTTTTAATTTTTAAAATTATTTTATTTTAAAATTTTTTATTTTATAATTTCCAATTTTTTATTTTTAATATTTTTATTTATGATCCAATTTTTTAAGTTTTAGTTTTTATTTATTTATTTTTTTTGTTTAATTGTAAACAATATAAGTTTTTATTTTTTTTTTTAACATTTTTTAATTGTTTGTGTTTATTTTTTTACATTTCTGATTTTTATTTCCATTTTTTATTTCATTTTATTTTTCTAATCTTTGTTTAATTTTTGTTTTCTTTTAATTAAATTTGTTTTTCTTTACTCAACTTTTTTATTTTAATTTTTTTAATTTTTTATTTTTTATTTGTGTTTTAATTTTTAAAATTATTTTAATTTACAATTTTTTATTTTTTAATTACCATTTTTTAATTTTTTTTCCATTTTTTATTATTTTTAATATAAGTTTCTAATTTTTAGTTTTTATTTATTATATTATATTATAATTGTTTTTGTTAATTCTTTTTACATATTTTATTTTTATTTCCATTTTTTATTTGATTTTATATTTCTAATCTTTTTTTAATTTTTGATTTCTTTCAATTTAATTTGTTTATTTTTACTCAACTTTTTTTACTTCCATTTTTTTTTAATTTATATTTCATTTTTTTAGTTATAACTTTTATTTAGTTTTTTTTTTTTTCAATTTGAAAACATTATATTTTCTATATTCTTTTCTGAACGTTTCTAATTTTTTTGCTAATTTTTACTTTTAAATTTTTTTTCATTAATTTTTGTATTATATTTCTTTTTTTTATTTTTTTTTTTTAATTTTTAATTGTTTTTTTTTTTATATTCTCTTAAATTTTCTTTTTACCTTGAACGCCATTTTTCAAATATTTATCCTTTGCAATAATCAATTAATACTCCCTCGCTCGTTGGCTACTTGTTATGCGCTTCGTGATGTTGTGCGACTGTGATCTTCCAACGAGTCGTGTGAAATATTTATAAGGCGCTAACGAACCAAGAATGAGATGGTCAATTTTTACCGTTCATATTAATTACATTTCATTGACGACTTACATTAAACTACATTGCAACAATAATGCAATGATTGGTCCTAAATGTATGTACACGAATGGCACATGATTGACACTAAGTCGACATATTTTTATTTTGCTTTTGACTATATGTAGTAATGTACACACGCAAAATATCAGTTGTAATGTCAAATACATATTAGGCAATGTCAAGAAAATGCAACAACAAATATTATAACTAAATTGCGTACGCTTGTTAGTTGCTCACTGCGCTGCAGCAGTGTAAAAATATTGTAAAACTTTGCTTTGGTAAAAATTATTTACACTTTCAGCCTCTCATTAGTGTGGCGTTACATATTTTCATAAGCATATCATATGTACAATATCAGTAAAGGTTACACTCGTTAACAATATATTTTATATTCCACCTTTGAACTATTATGTTTCAAAACAGTACAATCCGGAGATCGATAGCGGAAAGTCGCACTTACACTTGCCTCTCACTTACAGCTACAGATTTGCTCATCAGCTGCAAGGGGGAAGGAAATTACTTAATTATTTAAAGCTCTTAGTAAGTAGGTTTTGATATAGGAAATCGAGTTAGAGGAATCATTGCTGACGGAATGAGTACTAAAATCGCTGAAAAAATATCTAAAAGGGTCGTGCACATTGAAAAGGGCCTAAAATGCTTGGATGATCTTAAAGGGATGATAAAATTAAGCTCGCTAAGTGGGAATAAAAGCTCTTATCAGTTTGAATAAAATGAAACTGAAAGCATCTTTCTGCGGCCCGGAGTGTGAAACGCCTTTTGTAAGGAGGGAGATTCTTATTCGTATCTCAGTATAAATTTCTTAATACGAATAATAGGAATTACTTTTGTCCAGATTGAAATTTACCACTATTTAATTGATAGTGCGGCTTCCATACAATTGAGCTTTATTTGAAAATGGTCCTAAAAAGTGAAGAAAAAGTGTAAACTTGGTATATACAGTCTCTTAATTCTCATAATTAGAAAGACACTATTGCCCAGCTGATTGATGTTCTCGTAAGACCAAAGTCTGGTAATACTGCCGTTAAAGAAAAGTGATTCAAAGGGGAAAGATGGTAGAAGGTGTGCTCATTTAAAATTAATATAGTGTCTCAACTGATCGCTGTTTTGCTACTAAATCCCGAAAGGATGAGAGAGTGAGTGCTGTCCCCATCGTGCTTAACGGTCTAAACGTTCAGCTCCATAACGAAACATCTCCAAACGGCCTGTTGCTGATCATCTTATCCGTTGCCCGAAATTGTGGTTGTCCATAGTACCAGATTTAAGCTACAAGGCTGTCATGTATTGGTGATAGACATAGCACATACCGCCAGTATCCTAGACGTTCAAAAGCTGCAATCACAGCAGACGAAAATCTCGTTTTCTACTCAACTTGCACTCCTTGACTTGAGCTTCTTATGTACCGCCATTGCCGAAACAATTAGTGCTCAATAATGTCCGAAGTAGACCTAATACAATGAGGAATGCCGGGCTGTAGTGGAGAGAAAGCAGACTGCGTAGGGATTTTCAAAAACAGCCTAGTCATTTATTAGGGATCCCTCCCCTCCCTCCCTTCGTGCAGCTTAACGTGGCCTGTTATCTCTAAGAGTGTAGAATTTGAACTAACCCAACAGGGGTGATATTTGAAATCATAAATACAATGAACTGGTTAAACTTTATTAGTATGGCTTCATACCTGCTATATACCCCAAATGACTACATATTCATCTTGCGATCTTGAAATTATTGGAAAAGACCCGTAAGAAAAACGTCGACACCATAAACTTTTCCTCGTTTTCGATAGTACGAAAGGTAGCTGCCCTTATTCTACTATGTCTGGGTTTCAGATACCCAAAACGTTTATACGACTGTGTAAGCTGACGTTAAGCAACACTAAAAGTTCCGCCACGAAGTTCTGTGAAGTATAAGACAATATGACTCGCCATTGTGCGACTTCTTCAACCAAATGCAGAAAAGAGGCAGAGGCTATATGCATTTATGAAAACACTACACCTATGCATTTTTTTTCGAAAGTGCTATAAAAAAATCTCTACTCTGAATCTGTTAACACTTGTTGTCTACAGCTGGTGCTGATCCGTGAATAAAAGGGATTTTTCTTATATCTCTTCTAGCTAGGACCTAGAAAATGTTTCATAACTTTCATTATTGTTCATCTACTTAACAATATGTAATAAGAGAAAGAGCTAAATATATTAGACAATTTACATTATCTACTAACAAACCTGTATAGCCTGTATTCGTAAAGAAATGCTTCAGTTACTAGAATAAATGAAGAACCGAGCAGGGACAGCTCCCAACTTTTCGTTTACAACTTGTGTAATGGTCTTAAGCCTTAGATCTTGGGGAAATGCAGCCCTTTCACTCACCCTTTGAAGCATAATAAAGTATGAGACTTCGGGCAGAATTCTGAGATTATGAGGGTATGAGTTATGTCGAAATTTTAGAAGTAACAAATCAGTCTGGATATCAGTCTCTTTAAGTTTTTGTTTGGCATTCGTATGAACTATTTAACAGACACTAATTACAGTATACAAAAGGGAGAGAATTTTTATTTTTTTACGAATATTTTTCAAGCCAGCGTCGTAAGAAGTCAGGTAGTTATTAATATGTATTGATATACATAAAATGTGAGAACAGTGTTTCACGAGGTCCTGAGGCACTTTTTTTTTGGTAACAGACACTATTTTTAATAAGACTGATATTGACTGAAATTTATCTAAGCGAAGGAGTTTTCCGACCAGAGCAACAAACAATGTATGCTGTTGTTATTGTAACCACAAAAATATTCCTCAAAGTACTTTTTGGCGAATGTTGTGGAAGTGACAGTCCTTGGCCGTATAAAAATCCATGTCATTCCGGTACAAAGACCCGACCGTCGTGGACACTATTGGATTTTAGTCAGTACTTACGACGCCGCATGCCTTCCCGCACGTAAACTTTTGAACCTCTAACCCTCATGGTATCTGCGCTTGTCGCTTATTTGAGGAAGATGACGCTTTTACCTCTACAACTAATTTGATAACCAAGAGCCAGTAGTAGAGATCTTCACCAAGATGGTTATGAGTTTCTGATCGTCCAATTAAGGCTCCATATTTTTTGTAGCATAACACGGAATATACTTTCAATACTGTGTGAAATTTTCAGCGATTTTTTATATTCTGTTAAAAAGTTTTAGAACAAAATCTGTAATACCTTGCAGCCTTAGTTACAATTTCTAAATAATTATAAATCTTTTATAAATATCCAAAATTCGTTTGAAAGAGTTCTGTCTATTTTCATTTTGTCCAAAATTATTTCTGCGAATTCAACGCAATTTTTTTTTGGTTTTTCTTTAGGCATTGTCTTAAGGAAATAAACAAAAAATATTAACTTTGTGTTAAACAGTGTAAACTACACTTGATTTATTCACTCAATCAAAGGAATTATAATTATTTTCACAAGAAAGCAAAATGAAGTTCATCATAAAAATTGTAAGTATCATCGTTTGGCAGCTGACTCATGCCGATACTTCAGCCTCTACTTTGTCACCGCACCGCTTTTCATTGTTCACTTGTCGTGCGTGTAGGCAGACCTTAGCCACTTTTGCAAAAGTAGAGCAGAAAATTGGATTTGACATTCGAAACGTACACAATTAGGTAATTTAGACAGTTGCCATTCAATATTGTTTGTAAATAAATACATTAGATTTTGTTGCTAGGCTAGCCAGCCGTCGGTAAATGAAACAAGTACCGACACACCCATTCAGGCAAATTCATAATGAATGCTTGAAATATGAAGACTTATAGAAGAGTAGTAAGTCTTCAGAAGCTTGCGGGATTGCTGATTCTTCCTAAGTGGATTTTCAAAACCGGTAGTGTTATGACGTCACAATCCCAAGCTGGAATCATACCTTCTTATGCCTCTTATGAAAATATAATTTTTTTTAACTACTTCAGCTCGTAAATCAATTTAGTATATATTTTCTTCAAATAATATTTCGTAGGCGACAGAAACCCAATTATTTTATACAAGCTTCATATATAAATACCACCAAGACCGCAGTTCGAATGTTTATATCGTTTCTGTGATGGTTTCGTTCCTCTATTTATGCTTTCATGTTTTCTATAAAAAAGTATTGCCCGCTTAACTATTTTATGATCAATTAGTCTTCCAACGAACCCTTGTAGCTCTACGTCTGTGGGTACGTGGTAACTTGTTCTCTCTAGCATTTCTTCTGATAGAAAAGTATTCCAAAAATTAATTTAGATCCAAAACTTTCTCTGTACCAAAATTCATGTAAATCGAACTTTTTATAAATAAACTCGAGTTTTCCAATTAGATCGGTTGGAATGCCTACACAAGCGAACACACCCTGCAAGTTTCGGATTCGCCCGTTCAACAGGCCTTTAGGACAAAGCTTTCTATACGTATATTTACACCGAAAGAGACCAGTTCGAATATTTACTTCGTTTCTGTGGTGGTTCAGTTCTCTGGTCTGCCAACTCTCTGTTTATGTTCTATTCTATTGATGCTTCCTTTAAAAGAATGTTAACTACTTGTCGTTAAATAGCTCAAAAAGTCTCGAATAATCACAACTTCTTTGCGTCATTTATTGAGTCTAGTAAGGTAGAACTTGTTCTATCAACAAGCTCATCAGTTTTAATGGGAGTTCGAGGGAAATTTTTAAAAATCATTCTGGACCCGAAACGTAGCTAGAAAGAGCATAGAACTCAGAGCAATGAGAAGGCCTTTAACGCTTATGCTTCAGTGGAGCCATCTGCCATAATAGAGACTTAGGTCTTAGAACCTTTAAGCTAGATTTTATTTCTGTGATTTTTCGAATGTTTTAGTAGTATTCTTGCCTGAAATCGGTAAGAATACAAGATTAGATCTTTGTGGAATAGAGTCGAAATATAGCATTAAGCCAATCTATAGAAAACTTTAAGCCCAACCCTGCCAGCCAACAGAATTGACACTCCTTCACTTTGGATACCCGTTCTAAGTTTATGGCAATGCCTTCTGGTAGTGCAGAATTGATGTTTTCTCACATAACTCCTCAGTTGAATTCTCAGTTAAGCTAGCAGTCCGAAATCTCCACTATAACAAAAGCTGTTGAAGCAAAAACTCTGGAAAAGATATTCCCATTTTTATGCACAATATAGATGCAAAAAAAAAAGGCTACAAGCACCTTCACAACAAACTATAAATTCATACTGCTCTGTCGCGAATCCCTTCAGAAAATGTCCCCTCTTTGGGTCTTTTGCGACAGAGGCATAGAGGAGAGAGCGGCCGTACATACGAACTTGCTGACCAAGCAACGACGCAAGCGATTCCACAGAGTAAAAAAACGCAATGCCATAGTTCACCGACACGCCACATCAAGGTGCAAACTTGACCAGAGACTCGACAAGGTCGAAATTAGTGCACACGTAGGTGCAGTTAATGGCAGACGTTGCACCAAGATCTTTGTGTGGGTTATTGTGAGACCACCGGTCCCTCCACAATACCGTGTCTTTTTTGAACAACCTTGTGGCCTCTTATTTAATTTGATAAGCTTTCGGGCAATCGTCAAGGAAGCCAAGACCTATATTAGCTAATGTTTTCCTCACAATGCCTTGCTATGTCTCTTCTTCTTCTAATTCCTTGTAGCTTCTACATTAGTCGTTCTCTGGTCTTCCTAGTCTGCTGGCGTGACTGCCTATAAGACAGTGATCCTTTAGCAATTCTATTAAAGTTCTTATGCCACCCTTTGTTTCTACCGTAACTCAGCTGTATCTCTAATATGTTTTTAGTAAGATATCTACAAGTAGATAGACGCTACTCTTTATCTGACTGAATTTGCAAGTTCGTCATCTTCACGATTACCTTACACGATGTCCTAGAACCCATTGCAGGATTTTCGTGAACATTCTTTCACTAAAATTGATAAAATCCTAAGAGACTTACGTGATTTCGAATCCGCTTTACATTCTAAATGACCTGCGATCTCTGAAAAACGACGGCAGACGGTATCTTTTATACCGATGGATCATTGCCTTATAGGATGGCTTAAAGAGAGACTAGGGTTTCCTTTCCGAGGTTGCTATAAGAGCTACAGAAAAGACAAAGTCGAAGAGACGATTTTCAACCTGTTATACGATTGGCTTGCTGATAGCAAAGGTAGATTTCGGCATTTTGAAGTCGCTTTTATGGCAGAAATTAAAGTAAGCGACCTAATAAAAGACATAAAGAGCAGTAGGACCAGAGAAATTTCTTCGTGGTATCTTAATGGGTAATTACGGTCGCAAATCGGGAACCTCTTCTGACCATACATATATATAACAAAAAGGCAACTGGTGGTGAGACTGATTTAAGAATGCGATAGACAAATCAATCAACAAACCCCGGAAGGTCGTCTTCCAACTAAATCGAAAGCGAAATAACTACATCAGAATCGATTAAGAGTCAAGGTAGTATTAAAAGTTTCCTTTGATTATAGCGGAATCCTTGCCAGAAGTTCGGTTTGTAACCGTTGAAGCGATTTTCGGCTGAACTCCTCCTCCAATTTGCAGTATGCGTCTTGATGTTTTCCAACAAATGGAGAGACCTACAGCTTAGTCTAAGCCGCCTCCGAAGTGCCGATAGATTTTTTTAAGAAGCTTTTGTGTCATGTAAGTAACACACTCAGAGAGGTAGACATTCAATGCCAAAGGGTGACCGAAGTTAGAAAATAATATTTTTTAAAATAAATTTTTATATAATTTTGAATACATGGCTGGTCGGAAATCAAGCCTTTCTACTAATTGCAAAATTGTTATTGATCTCTGAGAACTAACGCTTTGCTTGATGTGTTACCGTTATAAAATACAAAATAGTGTGGGCTTGTTGGTGATAAATCTTCATAATCGTAAAATCTACCTTTTATATACATATACATATACATACAGGTATTTAATGGCCACAGCAGATAATGACAAATGCCTTGTAAGAGAAATATTGCAAAAAATTAAAATTTTATTCAGCAATAAAAAGTCAATTACCAACAAAACTCAGCAACAGCGTAAATTATTGATGCAGAATGTTAATATTTATTGTATATCGTATATACATTTGGACCACATACCAACTCCATGTTTACATTTGGTTAAATGCGAATAGAGCGAATTTTTTTTATTTTTATATTTTTATTTTTATTTTTATTTATTTTTTTTTTTTGGAAAAACAATGCTGCATGCGGGAGCTTAATAAGAATTAGCAGCACAACAAGCAAAAACAGAAATATAAACAAAAATTAAATAAAATGAAAACATACATGCAGATAACTGCTCGTAAACCGGTCGCATAATAAACGCTTGACAATGCTACAGGCAAATCGGCAGTAGACACATTGGAGGAGTACGATGAATATCGATATTGTTGGAGTGGTATGATGCTACATAGCCGCAGCTTAAGCGATGAGTCGCTTTCAGTACAAAGAGGAATTCAGACGCGTTAGTAGCGAACGCGCGTTTAACCAATTCGGCGACGATTTCGAACGGCTCTATTTAATTATTTCAAGCGTTTGTTTCCGCCACCGCCAGAGACTATGAATGGCTATATGGAGTTGCAGCGCGCGTGTGCGACCGCGCACAAGGACGTGAAGACGACAGAGAGTAGTAAGTGCAAATAAACTGTTATGTAACAAGATAAATTATCCAAAGAAAGCCTTGTAATTTATTTAAGTTTATTTAATTTTTATATATCATTTACTTTATTTTAGTCTACAATATTTTATTAAATTTGATTGAATTTAATTTTTTTGTTTCACCTGTTCTTTTTAATTATATTCTATTTCATTGAATTTAATTATATTTTGTTTTCCAATATTTTTTATATTTTAATCAATTTTATTTTTATTTTAACTTGTTTTTTAATTTAATTTAATTTTTGTATTTCATTTGATTTATTTTATTCTAATTTATTAAATTTAATTCCATTTCATTTTCGTTTTGTTTTACATGTATTATTTAATTATATTCTAGTTTATTTAATTGAGATATATCTTGTTTTGCAATATTCATTAAATTTAATTTAATTTTTTTTTTTATTTTAATTTTTTATTTCTATTATTTATTTATTATTTCATTTATTCTTTTTTATTTTACGTTTTATTTTTCTTTATTTTATTTTATTTTATTTTATTTTATTTTATTTTATTTTATTTTATTTTATTTTATTTTATTTAATTTGAATTTGTTTTATTTTAAATATTTAATTTAATTTAATTATATCTTATGTTAATTGGTTTTATTTAATGTCGATTTTTGAAATTTTGTTTTAATATATTTTATTGTATTTAATGTTAGGTTTTTTTTAATTTTTTCTTATGTTTTGTTTTATATATATTTTTTAATTTTACTTTATTTTATTGTATTTCATTACTTTACTTCGTTTTATATTTGTTTATTTTATTTTTATTTTTTTTAGTTAATTAATTTTTTTTTAAAGTTTATTTTGTTTAATTTCTTGGTTTTATAAATTTATTTTACTAATTATAATTTTTTTTTTTATTTTATTTTATCTAATTTTGTGACATTTTATTTTAATTTATTAAATTTAATTTGAATTTGTTTTATTTTAAAAATTTTATTTAACATTTTCATTTATATTAATTTAATTTAATTTAAGTTTTTTATTCATTTTTTATTTTGTTTTGTTTTATATAATTTTTTTATTTTCCACTATTTTATTGTATTTCATTTCTTTACTTCGTTTTATATTTGTCTATTTTATTTTTATTTTTTAAAGTTAATTAATTTTTTTTTAATCTTATTTTATTTAATATCTTGGTTTTTATATATTTATTTCAGTATTATTATTTTATTTTATCACATTTTATTTAATTTAATTTAATTTTATTTTATTTTTATTATATAAATTATTCTATTTAAATTTAATTTAATTTAATTTTTTAAAATTAGTTTTATATAATTTTATATCATTTTTATTTGTTTATGTTATTTTATTTTATTTTCTTTTAATTGAATTAATTAAATTTAATTTAATTTAATTTTATTATAATTAGTTTTATATTATTTTATATCATTTTAATTTATTTATGTTACTTTATTTTATTTAAATTTAGTTTATTTCATTTAATTCAATTTAATTTTTTATAATTAGTTTTATATTATTTTAAACATTTTTAATTTGTTTATGTTATTTTATTATATTTTACTCCTTTTTAATTTTATTGTATCACATATATTATATTATTTAATTTTCGTTAACTTTTTTATTTTTTTTTATATTGTTTTAAATTATTTAATTTAACTAAATTTTGTATTAATTTATTTTATTTTATTTTATTTTATGTTGTTTTGTTTTATTTTATTTTAAATTTTTTATTTCATTTTATTTAATTTTTATTTACCTTAGTTCATTTGATTTCGTTTTATCTTATATTATTTTATTTCAACTGTAGATATTATTTTATGTTATATTATTTTATGTTATTTTACTTTATGCGAATTAATTAAATTTATTTTAATTTTTTCATTTTATTTAATGTTATATTTCTTTTATTTTAGTTTAATTTTTTCATTTATTTTTATATGTTTATTTTTTTTTGTTTGATTATTCTAAATAAACAAATTTCATTTTAATTTTTTTTTTACATTTTTTGTTAAAGTTGTTTTGATTTAATATTATTATTATATTTAATTTTTTTTTTTTAATGTAGTTTTTTATTCTTCTTTGTATTTAATTTTTTTATTTTTTTATTTAACTTATTTCAAATCTTTGTGTTTATTAAGTTAATTTTATTTTTTGTTTTATATTCCTTTTATTTTTTTTATTTTTCTTTGCTTTTATTTTTTTTATATTTTATTTAACTTATTTCAAATCTTTTTTTTTAATTTAGTTAATTTTATTATTTACTTTATTTTTCAGAACCACTCTTTCACTTCAAAAAGCAACTACAATTCCTCTACGGTTACGTACTGGGCTTCTTAATGGCACTCATCACGCTGCTCTGCTACGAGCGCTTTCTGCTGCAAGCCGCCCAGGTGCGTCAGCATAGCACAGCAACTGAGAATTGGCAGGCGGGTTACACAAACGCTATGCGTGAGCTCAAGAGCGATGCAAATTTGTTGCATCAACGCTTGGAGGATGAAGTGCGTGTGCTTTGTATGGTTTTAACTACGCCCGCGCAACATCAAGCGCGTGCTGCACACGTAAAAGCCACATGGGGTAAGCGTTGCACACGCCTCGTATTTCTCAGCAGTGAGACAGATGTGGATTTGGGCGCTATATCGGTTGTGAGTAAAACGCACGATACATACGATCTGCTATGGTATAAAATTCGGCAAGGACTTCGTCACGTATACGTACGTTATTATGGGGATTACGATTGGTACTTGAAAGCTGATGATGATACGTGAGTGAGTGTGTATATAGTTGAAGAAAGACAACTTAATTAAATAAAGTGAATATGAGATTTTCTCTTTCGATATTGAAAAATCTCATTAGTAAATGGATTTAGACCAGGTTTAGACATATATGTACATGTAAAATATGTCTAACGTGTGTGTGTTCTTAGTTAATCTGCATATTTAATCAACCCTAAGTTGAATGACCAAAAACTAAATCAACTATGTAAGGGGCCACTAAATTCCTAGCATGTGTGGCGAAAAAGTGAAATGATTCTGTTCAAATCTGAATTTCTCAAAAACATGCTATAAATAAAGTGTATGCTGGCTGAAATCTAGGCAAAAAATCCGTATGGCAAATTGGTTAATTAAAAAGAAAGACACAGTGAAATGCGAAACTGGTTTCTTGTTAAGCATATTTAGCGAATTTTTGTACTGGTTCATTAGATAAATCGAACAAAATCGGGATTTTACTGTTAAAACGCCAAAGAATACACAGTCAGTTATTGATGCTTTTATTTATGATTAAATTATTAAAATGGAATAAGCAACAACAACAATGTTTGCTTATTACAAACTGGTTTACTTGAGCTCTCCCAACGAAAATAAAATTAAATAAAAACAAAATAAAAACAAAATAAAATGAAAATAAAATGAAAAAATAAAAATAAAATAAGAATAAAAATATAAAACAAAAATACATGTCCAATAAAACAATAAACCTAAACCACTTGGCAGAAAGAAACAACTGATGTAATTGAATGTGTAGTGAAATGAAATGTGAAGTGAAACAAAATGAGCTAAACTCAAAAAAAGTGAAAAATATAGCAAAAAATTAAAAAATGGTCATAACAAATAATCTTTAAAATATGTTCAAACGAAAATAAAAAAATTTTTTCCGTAATCTCTTAGATAAAAAAATTTAATTTTTTTTCTCAGCACACTAATACATGCTTATATCAAGATAACAGATTGCAGACTTTCAGTTAATGATTTTATTAATTTAGCCAGCGCTTTCAGGTACCCATTATCATGTCTGGAATTGAAATTCTTTTTTCTAACTTTTATAAATATTGTACGCAATTCATTATGCACCGAGTGAATAAAAGTTTTTGATATCAATAATAATATATATTTTCAAGCAATAAGTTTTTAATGTGCAATACGCGTCATACTCGCTTCGTATTTGCTGTCTTTTTGCATACTTATTCTCACTCAAGGAAATTTGAGTTTCTCTTCGTTCTACTTTAAGACACGTGTGCTATTAATTATATATTAACTACAAAGAAGTTGTGAGCTACTCATGGCCTTTGATCTTTTCTATTAACTTATCAATCAAATTTACATGTGACACTGGCGTGAGCTTTCGCTTAAATGCTTTCCACATGCTGAATTCGCTCCATTTCTCAGGACTGTTTTAATGCTATTTATTTGAATACACGATTAGCAACACTTCAAGAGTGGCCTAAATGTAAAATCTCTTTATTGTAGTAGCATATTATATATACACATATCTATGTATACACAGTGTGTCCAAAAAATAACCGAACTTTATATTTTAAATCATACAACATACAGCGCCATCTATTGCAACATTAAAAAGATGCACTCATCCTCTTTCGAACGTATCTAACCAAAAGTGTGCTAATGGTTCAAAAATAAAATGGAACAAAGAGCAAATATAAAATTTTTGTCAAACTTGAGGAAAAAATTAATAAAAAATAATTTATTGTGATGATTGTATGAGTCGAACACAAGTTTATACGTGGTTTACACGATTTAAAAATGGTCGTGAGGATTTAAATGACGACCCTAGAGCAGGACGTCCAGAAACTAGTAATCGTGCTGAACTGGTGGAAAAAGTCCGTGAAATCATTGGTATCGATGCAAATTTTACTACAAGAATATTGGCTGAGGTATTGAATACAAGTAAAAACATTATTTGGAGGATTTTAACTGAAGATTTGGGGAAAGGAAAAGTCTGTACGCGATTTGTTCGACATGAATTAAATGACGACCAAAAAATCGCTCGAATTTTTAATGAATTTTTAATGAAAAAAGGGATTTCTCTCATCGACCATTCTCCGCATTCGCCTGATCTATCATCATGTGACTATTTTTTATTTCCAAAATTGAAAACCAAGTTGAAGAGAGCATTTTATGATGATAGCCCAGCCATTCAAGCAGCCGTAACCGAGGTACTGAAGAGCATTTCTATAAATAACATAAAAAAATCTATGCAAGCGCTGGTTGATCGTTCCAAACGTGGTGTTGAGTCAAATGGAACCTATTTTGAATAAATAATAACTTTCAAAGATAATATATTGTGTATTTTATTTTATATCCAAAAAGTTCGGTTATTATTGGGGCACACTGTACATATGTGCAATAGTTTTTATTAATAAAAATTTTAAGTTTAATAATTAATAACAATTAATACATTAATTTAGAGCAACAATTTTCATAAATATTTTATACAAAAATGTTGTTTATTTAAAAAAAATTGTACTAATTTTTTTTTTCAACATTATAAATAACAGTTACGTTATCATGGAAAATCTACGTTATTCCCTCTATCCATATCAATCCGATATGCCGTTGGTTTTTGGCTATGAACTGTTACAACAAAACGTGGTTTACTTTCTTATATTAAACATATATACACACATACATACATATACCACATAAGTATAAATATATAGTTCTGCTCAGTTCATTGTACACAAAGCCATCAAAACATCACGAAGTTGACATTTTTAACGGTGTGAAAAAATGTATATTTTTAGTTTATCAACATTTTTAATGCAAATTTATGTTAAATCAACACTATAAATTCGCTACCAAACTATTATATGTTATAAATAGTTAATAATCGCAAATGGTGTCTTGGCGCTGCATATGTTAATATATTTTTCATTCATGAATATTTTGCTCCAAAAAGGAAAATATTATTTTTTAATAGTTAATAAATTTTTTATAATAATTTTTATTAGTGTTTTGAAGTGTTTTATGTTAGTTTGCGCGCACCAATATTCAAGATTAGTTTGATTTACTTTAATTTGATTTTGTATATTTTTTTTTTATTTGATATTTAATTCAATTTCAAATCCTTATTTTGTTTTATCTTATTTTTCTTTACTTAATTTTTTTATACTATTTTATATTTCTTGATATTATTATATTGTTTTATTTATTTAGATTTGCATTTATATTTTATTTTATTTTATTTTATTTTATTTTATTTTATTTTATTTTATTTTATTTTATTTTATGTTATTTTATTTTATTTTATTTCATTTCATTTTAAATATTTTATTTTATATTAATTTATTTTATTTAATAATAATTTTTTATTTATTTTTTTATATTTTCTTGTGATATTGTTTTCAGTTTCGTTTTTCTACATTACATTTTGGCTTTTGTTTGGAAATTTTTTCGTTTATTTAATTTATTTTTTTATTTATTGTTTTATTTTAATTTTTTTATTATATTTTGTTGTATCTCTTTATCTTTGAAATACATATTTTTTAATAATTTTTACTTAGTAATTAGTTGTTTATCTTTCCTCTATTATTCAAGACCTACATGTCCGGCGGCGCTGGTTACGTTCTCAGCAAGGAAGCACTCTATCGCGCTGTTAATTTTGGTTTCCTTAACGAAACGCTTTGTCCGCCTGCCAACTATGCGTTGCCTGAAGATTACAGCATGAGTATTTGTTTACAAAATGTGGGTGTATTACCGGTGGATGGACGGCTCATGTTGCCCGGCGATCAGAAGCAAAAGATGTTTCCGCTGCAATTGTTCGATTTTATGAATGCCAATGAGACACTCACAAACGGCGACTGGATTGAGCGTTTAACGCCATACGAACTTGATTGGGTACGATGTTTTTATATGTGCTTTTATCTCTTTACTGATTTTCTGTTATTTATTTCCTTTTCTCACACTTTAGGGCCTGGATTGCTGTTCTAATTTCTCCATCTCATTTCACTATGCCAATCCCGCCGTAATGTATTTATATGAATTTTTGATTTATCATTTGCGCACAGCGGGAGTCTCCCACCCCAATGCAATGTTGCCTGACAAAATTGATAACTCGGAGTTTTTGAGCAAATTTTTTAGTGAAAATAACGAATCTACACCACGGATTCCGGTTAAATGGGTGGATGTGGCTTAATAAATGGCGATAAATATTATTTGTATATATGTATATGTATTAGTTAAGGAAAAAATGTAAATTATTGTGTTATTAGAGAATATTAATAAATTAATCATCGCTGGCCACTTGAAATCCGATAACTTATGATTAACTGACGCGTAGTTCGTCCCGTAATCGAAACTGTCCGCTACCATAATCCATAGTTTAAGATATACTATGGAGTCTAAAAACGGAATGAAAACATTTTTTTCTTCTAAATGCAGTGATCCTCGACAAGAAATGTCTAAACATAAAAATCCTAACCTCTTCAAAAATCGTTTAAATTAATGACAAGGCAAACGAAAATCTCGGCCCAAACCGTTGAGAACAACCTTGGATTGCCTGAGACTGCCGTTTGTTGACTTCTTTACCGGAGTAAAAGAATTATTGGATTAATCTTAATAGGTATTCACCACAGTGTCCTTCAAATAATCAACACACCTCAGACCAGCTTTAAAAATCACCTATATTAAGTGCTATTTTCGATCTTCGACTTTGTTCGAAGGTGAAGTTCGAATGAATTTGGTATTTTTATATGAAGAATACGGCTCTGGTGAATTTTATTGGTTAAAACTGCGCATTATGCCATATATCTGATGAGGCTAATATTATTTATTTACATTTAAAAGAGATGGAAATTGAACAAGAATGGAACTCAACGGAAGAAAGGAGTAAAAACAGGCTTCCTAAAAATGCGTAGCTACGGCAGTGTTCAGCAAATTTTTCGTTGCACAAAGTTCCTTAGCAAAAAATTTTTTTTATTTAATGAAGCCTTTTGATTTGTAATTTAGTAGTCACAATTAAATTATCCAAAATCTAAACGAATTTGAAATTCGGTCTTCAATGTTTTTTTTTTTTAATTTTTTCAACCTGTTTGACCGAAAATCAAACTCTTTGACATGAAATACGCTGAAAAACCGGTCATAATATAGCAAAATTCAATGCCAAAAACTTGTCGAAATTTTTTTTATTTATCATTAAAAATAAATAAATATTCAAATGTGTTCATCAATATTGAAATATCTCAAAATTGACTTTTTATCATATTTTTTAATTTATTACCTGAAAAGTTTCCCAATATTTATAGCTTTTACTGTAAGAAACCCCCTTTTTAAAGCATAATTTTAGCTGCTAATTACTATTAAAATCAAGCTAACAAATACATAAGTAATCTACAATTGTATTTGTGTATGTATTTATATATTTAGAGAAATTAAATAAACTCGGTTCTTAAAATACAGTAATTAAGTTCCAAATTTACGCAATATTACAACTTTAACACAATTTACAGTTTTATTCATTGCGTCACTTAATTATTATATTTTATAATTATCATATACCATTTATATTTCATCTTCCGTAATTTATTATTAATTAATTTTTCACATCGCACTTGAGCTTAAGAAGTACTTAACTAGACACATGTCTGTCCACACCGCCATAAAAATTAGCCAATGCACATGAAACTGTGAATATGTATGTCGTCACCACCATTTAGCTTATTTGTTGTTAAATAAATATTTGACTGATTAAACTGACTAGATGGCACACATTTATTATTTTATTTTACTTCTTCATTATTTTGTAATTTTTTTTTTTTAATTTTAAAATGTGATGAATTCTCCGACACTTGTTTCACCAATTATAAATGCTTAAAAAGCCACCGTAAACAAAACACGAGCATACATTGCACGTCATGTCTTTGAATGTCACTTTTCAAATTTAACCTACACCAATGTATGACTGACCAGCGCCAACTAAACGCTTCACCGGTAAACGTTTGACAAAAGCATCAGCACATAAAACACACACACATACATTTGTGCGTACTTAGTCGGCCGTTTTCCTCGTGCTTCTTATTATTTTTGGGATTTTTTGCATCACTTGACACACCTTGGAATATAAAGTTGCGCGCTTCTTGCTGCCTACTGTAATTTACTCGAACAATATAAATATTGAGTGACAAAAAAATTTAAAAAGAAAAACAAACTAGAAAGAAGAAGTATTGTAATCAGCAGGCGTAAGAGAAATACACGCGCATTATGCTAAAACAATAAAATGGTTAAGAAAAGACGAAAGAGTTAAAAGAATATTACGTTAAAGTTTAAAATAAAATGAGTAAAAACTAAAATTTTGTATAAAAACCGGTCAAACATAGGTCAGTATTGAGTAGCGCTAGACAACAGTCATAGTCACATCTCCAGCGGTAGCTGACACATCGTGACAAAACAACAGCTGACTTTGTAATAGCACAGTGTTGTAAATACAACGACAATTCCATAAAAAGAGATTCAATAAATGAAACAAAATAAAAAAATAAATATGCAATTTATAAATAAATTATTGTATTTTATATTATTTTATTTATTTTGTTTTATGTTATTATTGTATTTCTTATTTTATATTATTTTATTTAATTTTTCTCATTTATTTTTAATTGTGGTTATTTTATTTTATTTTATTTTATTTTATTTTATTTTATTTTATTTTATTTTATTTTATTTTATTTTATTTTATTTTATTTTATTCTATTTTATTTTATTTTATTTTTTTTATTTTATTTTATTTTACTTCAATTCATTTTATTTCATTTTATTTCCTTTTTTATTTTATTTTATTTTGTTTTATTTCATTTAATTTAAGGTTAAATTAATTTTGTTTTATATTATTTTATTTAATTTTTAATTTTATTTTTTAAATTATTTAATTTAATTTAATTTAATTTTTTCAGTTTTAATTTTAATTTAACTTTATTTTTTCAGTTTTAATTTTTTATATTTTAATTTGCTTTATTTTGCATCATATTTTGTATTATGTTTAATTTTAGAAAAAAATATTTTATGTTATTTTGTTTAATTCATTTAATTAAATTTGATTCAAAATAATTTTATTTACATATATTTTTATTTCTTTTTATATTTTTTTAATTTCTGATATTATTTTTATTCACTAAAACGTTGCAAATTAAACACAGTGCATCAGTTGCTCATGCCCAGACTCAATGAATTGCTCTGCAACAAGCGGTTGGACACCCAGCGTTTAGTCGGTCAACGGCGATACGCGCGTGTAGTAAGACTATTGAGTGATTAACTCACAGCATGAGTTGCTAAGTGTGGTTTTAAAAAGAGGAGGATCAGTAATAATTGACTAAGAGACGCAATAAGCAGAGTTCATAGGTCAATTGCAAGAAATATTGTGTTCGCGCATGCGCATTGTGATGTGGAATAAAAGTGAAAAATAATTGCACAGAGATGATCGTGATATATTGGAGGATATAATAAAGCAATAAATATTAGAAAAAGGACATTTACTGTTAAATTCTTAAGCTTTATATAGTCAAAACAAATCTATTAAGTTCCGTGTGTGTTTTCATGAAATAATCAATTTAAATTGAATATGAGCTATACTCTTCTACCACCCAACGCACACTTTGCACGCTCTTCCTGTGCACCACCTCGCATTCAATTGCACATCCTATGCGGTTTTGTGTCGGGCTTTCTCATGGCACTTTGTACGCTATTACTATACAATCATTACCAAATAGAAACAGTGCAACAACGTCAGCATACCACCGCGAGCACATATTGGCAAACGGGTTATATGATGGCCTTGCAAGAGGTGGCGACCGAGGCCGATTCGTTGCAACAACAGCTCGGCGAGAGGGTGCGTGTCCTATGTATGGTGTTAACATCACCCGATCAGCATGCGAGTCATGCCAAACATGTCAAAGCTACTTGGGGCAAGCGTTGCACGCGTTTGATATTTCTCAGTAGCGAAGCGGATGAAGAGTTGGGCGCAGTGGCTGTTGTGGAACGTGAAGCGGATAACTATGATGATTTGTGGAATAAGACACGCGAAGGTTTCCGCTATGCTTACGAGCAGTATTATGACGATTACGATTGGTTCGTCAAGGCAGACGATGATACGTGAGTGAGTTTAAAATAATTAAAATACATATGTACATATGTGTGAGATTTTACTTTTATACGATATGTGGTGTGCGTTGGAATAATTTTTCAAGACATGGAAGGACTTGGAATTTTTCCAAAGTCACCGCCGCACCGCTGATCGATTTTTTGAGGAACTTCATTTATTTCATTTTAGTAATACAGTCAGAGGACTTGTTGTAATTTTTGTATGTTCGCTTTTTTAGGATGCGAACCCATGTGGTGGTGTGACTCAACTCGCTTATTTTTACTATTAGCTACCGTGTTTTTTTGTTGGAATGATAATAATTTCCTTTTTCCATATATTAGCCGAAGTATAAACAAAAATATTTATGTTGGTTTTCGTACTCGTAAGCTCAGAAAGTTAGTTGGCCATATGAGAGAGATTTTCTGCTTTTCAATTCTTCAAAAACTTGTAGTAATTTCTCTGAATTCTTCCATGGTCTTTGAAGGTCCCACTAGATTACTCTGACTCTATTAGTGTGATGTGCCATTTTGTGCTTTCAGTGGCTCTAAGATGCATTTCATAGAGCCTTTCTTCTAGTCCTATCATACTTGTACCAAATCTGTGCCGTTATCTCTATTGTTCTATGATATGTTCCCTGCTATTTGTTTGTGCAAATTCCAATAGAAGTACTACTGCAATATTCACTATGTATCGGGTTCGTCAAGGCATACTTCAAACTTAACCAACTCCGCTGATAATATTTCCAAGACGAGGAACTCAGTTTATGGCTAAATGGAGTTCCCCTGCCATCCAGCTCAAAGTCTTTTGTTGACGGCGCGGAATCGACGACAACTAAGCCATTCAAACAGTCTGGCTATTCGTGTAAATGGCTGCTTTCCACAGTTATTTAATAAATCTTTACAGATCTTTTCTATGTCTAGTACTTCCGCTGTAAAGATGCTAGCTAAGTTGGTTAGGCAGATGTAGAGAAATGTTTAGATCCTGGTAGTATATCGTCTTTGAAATTCCATGCTGAATATGGACCTGATGCTTCGCATAGATGCAGATGGTATTCTCTTCCTCTCTATTGGACCTCTTTTTCATACTCAGCTCTCTATTGAGCTCCAACATTGGGGGATATAGTCAGATGTATTTAAAGTTGTTGAGCGTAAGTTCAGAAAATCGCTGTGTCTATAACCCTTTTGAAACCAACCACTCAATTACAACTTTTCGAATGAAAATGTTTATAGGGAGTTGGTGCAGCAGCATGCCTAACCCATCGGTAGTTTTTTTCATGAAGTCATCACCGCACGTTTGTCGTATATCTTCGATAGGCATTCGTTTTTATGCCTGAAATGCGCTGGGAGGTGTTGTCTTTTCTTGCTGTGGTGTGACCCTATTTAGAAAAGAAAACTTGTATTTTCTTGTGAAATAAAAAAAACAAACACTTTTCATTACAGATACATGGTTATGGAGAACTTACGATATATGCTATATGCATATCAACCGGAGATACCAATCTATTTCGGCTATCAGTTGGTGCGTTATGATGTGGTGAGTATGCAGTTAAGACTTTTTATTAGGCAACTATTAAAATGAGTTAAATTTATGGATGAAATAAAATACTTCAAGCTGACATCTTAGCGAAATAGTCAGTGAAACGCATTGAAAAACTCAACAAACACTAAAACTACAAATTAATCATGACTAATTAACACATAAAGTGGCTGCTATGCATAGTTATTGATCAAATCAGGTAGGGGAGGAATAAAAAAAAAAAATACAACAATTATATAAAGAGAGGCGATTAAATAATCGTTAAGTGGTCATATGTTCATCAAATGCGTGATTTCAAAATTTCAAAAAAAGATTTACCGATAGACATCAAAAAAAATTAATTTATAAACATATATTTAAAACATATAGAGAAATAAAAAAACTAAAAGAATTACAAATTGATGACCCTAAAAAAATATAAAATTTAAAATAATTATACATTGAAAAAAAATAAAGAAAATAAAACTTTAAAGAGATATAAATTAAAACAATTAGTTAGAAAAAATTAAAAATAAGAAATGCAAAACTTAAATAAAAAAAAATAAATTTTGAAAAAAGAAAATTGAAAGAAAAAATTAAAAATGTTAAAAATTAAAATAATGAAAAATTTAGAAAAATTAAAAATTTAAAAACTGCCATAAAAAAAAACATAAAAACTTTAAAATTTAAAAAAATTAAAACAATTAAAAATTGATAATGAGTAAAAAATGAAGAATTTGAAAATATCAAAATTACAAAAAAAAAATATCAGATTTAAAATATTACAGTTAAAAAATTAAATTTAAAATAGGTAAAATAAAAAAGTTGAAAAATTTAAAAGAAAAAAAAATACAAATTAAAGTTGGACATATAAAATTTAAAAGAAATTACAAGAATTAAATATTGAAACAATTAAAAAATAATGTGAAATTAAAAAAAAAATTTATTAAAGAAAATTAGAAAATAATGAAAATAAAGAAAATAATTAAAAATTGAAAGCATTAAAAAAATAACAAATTGAAGGTGAAAAATAAAATTTAAAAGAAATTACAAAAACTAAATATTGAAAAATTTGAAAATTATGAAAAAAAATATTAAAGTAAAATTTAATTAAAAATTTATAGAACTGAAAATCGAAGGAACCAAAAAGAGTAAAAACTTTGATATTATTAGATACTGAGAAAAAAACTAAAAACTGAAAAAAAATTAAAAAATTTCAAAAGAAAGAAGAATTAAAAAAAAAAATAAATAAAAAAATTTAAAAATTTAAATAAATAAAACTTAGAGCAAATTAACAAAATTAAAAAATTTAAGTAAAAATTAAATAAAAAAAATTAAATTAAAAAAAATTAGATTAAAAAAAATTAAATTAAAAAAAGTTAAATTAAAAAAAAAATTAAATTAAAAAAAATTAAATTAAAAAAATTTAATAGGAAAACTTATAAATAATTAAAAACATTACAAATTGCAAGTGCAAAAATTAGAATTGAAAAGTTACAAGAATTAAATATTAAAAAAGTAATAATAATAAATAAAAATAGTAATAATAAAATAAATAAAATGAAAAAAAAATAATAAAATAATAAAAAAATAAAAATATAAAAATAAAAATATAAAAATAAAAATAAAATAAATAAAAATTAAAAGAAGTAAAAAAAATTATATTTAAAAAAGGTTAAAAGAATTAAAATTGAAAAGAGTAAACAAATTCGAAATTAAAATAAAATGAAAATAAAAAAAAATAAAATTTCCAAAAAAAAAAATTAAAAAGATTAATATTGAGAAGTACCAAAAAGTTTAATATTGAAAAGTAAAATAAACTAAAAATCAAACTATATACAATGTTTACAAAACATTTAAGGCAATATATCAATCACTTTGCATTTATCTCATATGATATTTATTAATATGATGTCAGGTAATCAACACCGTCTTCTGTCATGTTAAATTGATGTTTGCGCTCGATGAAATTATTGTCAGTGTTGCTGTGCAAAAAACTACTGGCTAGAAATAACTAAAGTGTCGGTATTTCAAAGATAATTACAAGCAACTTAGTAATAAGATAAAAAAATTTACAAAAATTAAACAATATTATGCAGATATTAACTACAAACAGATGTACATATATTTAATTTTTTTGCTGCATAACTTAAACGCTTTCATACATAGTTTCCGCTAGTAAGCATTTTTTTCTTCACACCAGATGATTAGTCAAGCGAAAATATAAACAAAACCACTAAAAATAGATGCATATGTATGCATGCATGCAAATTTTTGTACAAAATAGTGTAAATACTAAAGTGATGATATGCAAATTTATGTACTAATAATTTTTAATATTTTTTTTATTTACTTAGAAAAACCACAACAAACTTGTCGACGAGTGTTTAGTAGCGTCAGAAGTGTTCTTTTAAAAAACAACGCTGGCGAAAATTAAAATGAATATGATATGGCTAAAAAAAAAAAAAAAAATGCGGCAAAAGTTAATAAGAATTTGTGGTTTTTTTCTTTTCTCCTTGGAAATTTGTTTATTTTTTACTTATTTTTTTTTTTAATATGAAATTTAACGCGAATTTTATATGTTCGAAAAACATTGTTACCTCGATTTTATGTCTTATTTTAAAATCATTCATTTGGAAATTTCATTAATATTTTTTTTTTATTTTTTATTATTTTTTTACTATTATATTATATTTTTTTATTTATAAATTTTTTTTTTTTATTTCAACACAAAATTTACCAAGCATTTTTTATTATTGATTTTGTGTGTTTTTTGTTCTCTAAAAAAACAACAATATTTCGTTGATTTTATAACTAGTCAGCTTATTAGAGTTTAGAAGAAATAATTAACGGTAATAAAAACGAGATTAACAAGTTCTTAGATGGAATAGACTATACCGTATGTAATTCATAGAAGATTAGCGCAATATTTGAATATTAAAGCCAATAAAAGTTTAACTTGCATATTTTGAATAATATGGTAAATATATATATATATACACAAAGTTAAATAGAAACAAAGCAATATTTACCATATTATTCAAAATATGACTCGGTTTTTTCCAAAATGGCAAAGGTTTTATAAAGAAATCTATATATATATATATATATTTATGGCAGCATAATGATGAGTTAACTTCATATAAATTTACGTAAAAATATTAGTTTTTATTATTAAATATTAATTTTCGCTTAAAAAATTAAATAAAAATTTATTTAATTTCATTAATACCCTCATTTTCACTTTTTATTATTTTTTTCTTTTGTTTAATTTGTTTAAAGTGGAACGTGTTGGGTAATTTAATAAGAACATTTACAAAAGTTGTGGTTTTTAAATAATTTTTCGTTATTACTTTTTATTTAAATTTTTTAAAAAACATTTATTTTCTTTATTTATTTTGCATGACTTGCACAATAGTTTCATATACCAGGATGTTCTTCAGAATTATTTAATTATATGAAAAGACTAATTTTAAGGTATTTTATAAGCAAATAATTATTTTTTTTTCATGACTGCACTTTTATTTTTTTCGTTTTTAGAATTGACCGGTTTAATTTTATAAGAACACATACTAATGTTGCCTATTTTTAGTATGCCACCATTATTTTTTTTTTACTTTATAAAAAATATTTATTATTTCCTTTCGTGAATACCTCCATTTTCACATGACAACAATTTCTGCGATATTTTTATTGTTTTAATTTTTTTGATTGAGAATTAATTGTACATATTCACTTTGATATTCTATGATATTAATAATAATTAAAGCGTATGTACATATGTATATATGTATTTACTTAGTAAAATACCGCAGCGTACAACGTATATTTTTCTTTTGCTTCTTCTTCTTCCCTGTACTTAGCAAAATTCAGCGTGAAGTCACTAAAAAAAGCATAAATCTTAATGTCAATTTTTAAACTGTATATGTATAATTGTCATATTTATAATAAAATAATTTGAATAAAAATTTTTGTCGTATATCCGAAAAAAAATCCCAGTGCGAGGTGTGTTCAAAAAGTAACGAGAAATTTCATTTTGAAATTAAATATTTATATATTTATTTGTCCCCATAAGGAAATATTTGCTTGTGCCAGCGCTTCGTCCAATCTCAGAAACACTTCTCAAACTTGACCTTTGTGATAGTTTTTAGTTCTTTTCCGCTTTTAATCTTATGCATGACTCCGAGTTTTGCCGAATACGAAGGCTGATGCAAAGTTGAAGTACTATATCGTGCTTGTGATGCAAAATCCATCTATACAGCATTGAACTTTTAGGTGATACTACTTATCGAACGTTTGACCTAGTGGTGGTGGAAATCCATGATGCACAATGCCATTAATATCGATGATGCGAACCTTCAACTGCGAACGCACTAGCCGAGCCCTTTTCGGTTTTGACCTCCACTACGAAGATTGATACTTAGTTTGGACGTTACATGCCATGTTTTGTATTCCCTTTTTCTTATTTTTTTTAACTGTGCACTGTTGTTGGCTTAATTTAGTCACGGCTGAGCAACTTCCATTCGCCGCTGCTTTTGTAGAAAATTCAACAATTTCAGAATAAGTTTTGCTGCCATGCGTTTTATACTCAAAACATTAGAAAAATTGTCACAAGTTGAACCAAGCGATATGCCAAAATCATCAGCGACTTTCGCAGTTGTTATTCGGCGATCATTCATAATCATTTCTTTTACTTTTTGTACATTTCCAAAGGTTAATGTTGTTCTGAGATAAACAGAACGCTTGTCATCTACAGCGTTCAAATATATTTAAATTTGGATCAAAAACAGCTTAGATGACTCGAAAATCCAGATTCCTTAAAACTTTAATCTATTACGCGGCTTATTTTACTTATTCCATAGAGAAAAGCTAAACAATTTTTTTTTTTTACTTTTGGTAAAGTAAGAAACTCAACAAACATAAATCAACTAGTATATAACTGGTATGAAATTGACATATAATTGGAAAATTGACAGTTTGAAGCCCATCTCTTGGTTAGAAATATCAGTAGCTAACAT